AAAACCGAAGTCAGAGACCGTGATGGTGACTGCATCAACTATCAGCGAAAGGCGTCCAATCTTTGAAGAGGACAAAGCAGGCCAAGTCATTCAGGCTGTTCCAAGACGTCTATTGATCCACATGTCCTTTGGATCAAAGGCATACATGGATGATCAAGTGTTGAGGACGTTTGGAAGCAAAGGCCACCTTTAAGGCAGACCATACGTTGGTAAACCGAGTGGGCAACGTCCCCTACCTGAGCAAGAACCTGCACAGAGGGTGCCTGGATGCAACCATCGTCACCAGAGCTGGATCCCGCACTGAGAAGGCCTTGGATGCAACAACCAGGCTGGGTTTTTACGCCGCAAAAACTGATCGTACTTACGTTTTTGTGCGTAAAAACAGTTTTTACGTTTTTACGCGTAAAAATGCGTAAAAATACGTAACTACAGCGTAAAAATTGCCTGGTGTACATAAGGACAGTACATATAGATTTACAGAGTCCGGAGAGTGGCACCCAGACGCCTTAGAATAGGCACAAAACGAGCCTTGTTCAACGCCATTATCGCCCTTGCCAAAGGCGAGGTGGACATTGTGTTCCGGGTGATGGAGATGGCGGACGACTGATCATTGTACGCAACTTTCATCGCGTAAACCACGTGTGCCGGGGAGCCGCAAAAATGTAAAAATAGCCGCAAAAATAGGCCCTTTTGCAAATTTACGTTTTTATGCGTAAAAAAGTAAAAGTAACAACGTAAACGTAAACGCAAATACCAAGTCTGGCAACAACTGCCACCAGAGCCGGCACCTACACTGAGGAGGCCTTGGAGACAACAGCTGTCTGAGCAAGATTGAGCCGCCGTCTGAGCTAAACTGCCAGAGTTTATGTGGTAATCTTTGATACGATATATTAGTCTCAAATCATGAGCATGGCTCATGGAGATGTATGGCCTTCGACATGGACTGATATTCAAAATCTTAGGAGCACGGAATGGGTTCATTAAGCTGGAAATGGCAACAATGACAGCATGTATGGCTGAATCAACTAACCTCTAATGTCCCATGACTACGCCCTATTCGATAGTCAATAAAAGAGGTGACTCAAATTATCTTAGCAAAGGGAAAGTACTGGAATATGGGGCAGCTCCTTTACGGGGGCTGACTCAAGGACTGTTGTGCATATCCATGTCATCATTTTTCTACCCATTTCACGAGCCTATGCGGATCATATGACAGTACATTTCACTCCTTTCTTGATGATTTTGATGATCAATACTGATCACGTTATTGGTCGGCTGATCGCTGGACATCGTTAAAAAAACTGCTGATGATCATGGCCCGGTCGGGCAGCTAATGACTAAAAAAACATGAGAGTTAGGAAAACGAGTAGACGGCCCATTGAAGACTCGACTCGGGCGTGGGCCACGCCCACTGACGCAGACGGGACCGCAGGGAAGTTTCACCAAAAAATGCTGAAGGGCGGGAGCTAATGAGGCAGCTCTTGTTAGACAAAAGTGTGTGATAGCTGAAACCGTTTTGAGTAGCCTGAAAATTATGAAAGAAGAGAATCAGTATCGCCTTTGACTGATATGACTGATGCGGTTCAGTCTTGGGCTTTTCGTCATGCATTTGACCCATAAGGTTGCTGTCCTTAAGGAGCCATTTCGCTCATCATCATCGCATATGTCAACAGTCTGGGGTGATAATGTACTGAACTGATTGCCCCTCATTTGACGGATCTTTGACCTACATGATCTTTATCGTATGCTGTTGTACATGCCTTGAGATGGATGAAAAATAGGAGCAGATGTGATCCCTTTTGGGCAGTCTGTTGTAAGAAAATGGATTAATGTGCCGGGTCTAGGAAAAACAATTGACGGATTTGGAAGCCGGATGGGTAGCCGAAGCTGACATAAGGCTACATTGTCCTGGATATTGTACAAGTTGTGTTGTCCCGTCTTTATGAGTCAATTACAGTCTACCATTGTCTACAGTTGTTCATCGCGTCTGTCTGTACTGATATTAGCAACATTCCAAAGTCCTAAGAGAGGTCGGAAAAGTGGGAATTTTCCTTTTCTGGCTCACACGGGGGAGCGTGAGAGTTCGTTGGCGTGCGGCGTCACAGCTGCGGCGTTTTTCTAATAACCCGCCAGAAGTGGATACCTAGCCATTAGGGTCATTAGGATGGCGATTACAGTCTTTATGGTCTTCTTCTTAAGTATGGTCAGTTTGTGCTTCCTCACTATTACAGTCATATGGGCATGATGGACGGTATAATGGACGGCATGAAGTTGGTGTTTTGCGCAGGAGATGAGCCCTTTGATTGAGATGTTGCGCCCTTGAAGATAAGCTGTGCCATTGCTGTGCCCAATAATGAAGATGCGCCTTACCCAATGCTTTGATGAGTGGGGATGAGATGCCGTGGCCTCGAAGATGAGCCGTGTCAACATTGAGACGTTGATGTGAAGATGATGAGTCTGTTGATGAACCTAAATGGAGCTGCGTTGTGGCCATACTGTTTTTGGAATATGTGCCGGAAGATTGGAAGACATGCCGTGTTCTTTTGATGTTGTGCCGGAAGACTGGTCCATGGCAGCGCTATTTGAGCATCAGTGATGAAGCTTGATGAGCACCGTGCGCTGCGATGAGCCGGGGAGTGCTGCCATGACCTGTGGCAGCGCGTGGTGGCTGGAGCGTGGGCGTGAGTGCGTCAGCTACTGGGTGCTGACTGGGTACTGAGTGCTGTAGATCACGGAGGACAGCGCGGGGGTTGCTGAACAGTGTGGGCTGGGGGATTGGGGTGGTGGTGTTAGATAACGCCCGCGGCGTTATCAAAGATGGCCGGTGTTGCGGAGAGCGGGGGGTACGCAAGATAGCATGTGGGGGGGCGCTATTCACTTCAACATTGCGTACAACCACAATGCAAAAGCATTTTCACACATTCTTACATCTTATCGCATGTGCTATCGCCCAGCGTTATCAAGTTCACACCAACTCAACATTGCCATGGAATTCCTCCTTCAATCAAACACCATTTCCTCAACATTCTCAGTATCCAACCGCATATTGCCATCACTCAAACCCAGGTCATCGTGATTTCCAGCCTGTCCCCAGTGCAGTGCGATGTCCCAACGGCTGTTGTTGGTCGGTGCTGTGCCTGGCGCCTTATGTCATGTCATGTAGTGTCATGCAATATGCTATATTGGCCAGGTGGCGGTTTGCTTCGCCAGTCAATTCGGCAACGCGGGTGGCGCGGCATGATGCAGCGTCCTGTGGCGTCCCATCGCTTTTTCTGGCGCCGGTTTTGGTTGCTGCCGTGAATGGCGCCTCATGTAGTGTGCTAAGTTGGTGGGGCGCCGGCATGCTTTGCTGCCGTTACGCCCGCCAGCGTGATATCGCGGGGGGGCGTTACAGTGTCAGCGACCTGATGTGGAACGTGGGGTGCACGGAAGATGGCGCTGGGCCACAAGATAGCGGGCCCCCGGGGGGGTTGGGTGTTGGGGCGCTATCCTCCATGAGTACTATGGGTGCAGCGGTTGTAGTACTATGGGTGCCGCACTAGGTGTTGCAGCACGGGGACCCCGTGGATGGCACCACGACATAGAGTGACAGGCGCGGTAGCACTTTGAGCGGTGCGCCAGACTCCAGACGCAAGTGAGATGGCAGCAGTACGGTTGGCGTGGTTGGGCAGCCCAGGCTAGTACGTCAGAGGGCGGAGCTCATACTTTGAGGCCCGGGTGCTGCACCAAAGGGCTGGAACGGGGTCAGAACCCTGGGTAACACGGGATAGTACATGAGATGGGAGTATTCGTGCATTAAGGCGAGGGAACCACACCCGAGGACAATGTATTGCGGTGCTGTGCAAGATTTGATGTGCCCTTTTTGGGTATGAGTCAGAAAGATGCTATGTTGGTGTCGCACCAAGCGGCTGGGCTATTTTGGACGCACGGTTTCTCCTGTAACAGCACAACGCTTGTTTCGAGCCGACACTTGGCGTTTCCCTGTGCACACACGGGGATCGTGCCCTGCTCCCTGGGTACATGTCGCACTGGCAGTCGCTCATTGTGGGTGCACCTTCACCATCGAGTTCAGGTCGATTGGGCGAGCGTCCATTTCTGTGCGCGACTAGCTCAATGCTAGAAGAATCGCCATCTGGGCGCCATTTCTGCGGTGGTACGAGGCTCGGTGCCACAAGGCCCGCTCCGGCGCAGATCTAATTATGCACGTTTGACCTGTAACGGTCTGATAGACGTCGTCATCACCATGCAAATTCACCACCATCATTCATTTTTACACAACAAGGCCAGGAGGCAGCCGTTGGTTTCCTATTTTGCCTGAGCAAAGCAGTGTCGACAATGTCGTTGACGTCAACGACCAGTCCATTGAAATCTAATACATAACACAAACAGAAAACATGAACATTCACAAAACAAGGATCCAAGAGCCGGGAGCCAGGTGCAACGAGCAACGAGTTTCACCTCATTACCCAAGGCGCCAACGTGTCATCATCAGCGTCATCATGAAATTTTACATACTAAGGTAAGACAAGGGGTTAGCCATCAGCTTGCTGTTTTGCCCAAGAAACGTGGTGTCCCATGATTTGCTCATTTGTCAAGGTTTCAAAGTCGCCTTGGCTGTCTTCGAGTGCTGGTGGGGCGGTTGGCTCTTGATGGAAGTGCGCAGGCACACAGACCGATCCGACCAAAGCTGTCCTCAACCAGTACCCCATTGTTCTGCACTCACAACCCAGTCCATGAATCTACACAATGAGGGTGCGTGCATCCACCACTCTGGCAACCTCACGATGTGCCAAAGGACACACATCCATCTGGTGTGCCACCTATCTAACTCGCCAGCCATTCGACCTGCGAAAATTGTGCCACGATAAATGTGACGATAATGTGACGACAAATGATAAATGATCCACCCGCAACTGGAGAATTGCGCCCCCCTACCATGTTCAATACCACCATAGACAATGCAGCCAGGAACCAATTTGTCAATGCTCGTCGTCACTGCCCTAATCCATTTCTGCTTCTATGAGCATCAGGTCCTTGTCTATTGCATCATCATAATCGAGTTCAAGTTCCTTATGCCCTTCCAGCAGCACCGCCCTTATGGTCTCAAAATCCTACGAGCACAGCAGACATGCGCGTCAGCCTGCATCACAGCACTTTACACGGCACAATGCACATTGTACAAACATAGGCCAACAGTTTTATTTGCAGTATTTAGCAGGCCCAATCCGCGACACAGGTCACAGACACAACACCTGCCCTGGCCAAAACTTCCTTGTTTTTTGAATCTGTGCATGTCCACCACAAACAAGTCAGATCGCTGCAGCTACCTCCTCTCCATCCAGCCCGTCTGCTACCAGGCTGCAATGTCCAGGTCGAAGAAATTGAAAGCTCTTTTAACTTCCTTAAACTTGGCTGTATCGCTCACTTGCTCTGGGCCAAGCTGCGAAACTCACCTGCCCATGCTGCACCCTTTGAGGGTGCTGGTTCATTTCAAGCATCCCTTTCGGGATGTCTTCTCTGAACCACACGTGGTTCTTGATCTCCTGCATGGAAATCCTAATCTTTGGGTCGTACTCGAGCATTCTGTTGATCATGTCGTACAACGCAGGGGACAGCTGCCTTCTGGGCAGCTCGTAGTCCACATTCACAATTGTCTGCAGCACCAGAAATGGAATCCTTGGTGACAACTGATTAAAGGCAGTCGGCTGACTGGGGCAGCAAGCAGAAGCAACATGATGTCACCCAGTGTAAGGACACCAGGTAGGCGGCCAACACAAAATCACCGCCACCCACACACCAACAAATTTCCTGTCATGTCCATGTATACAAATCTCATACACATCTACTCAAACAATGCCATCATGCTCGAAGCTCAGATGCTCCCTACCGCAAATGGATGAGACAGAATCTTCCGGGCACCCGGAACCATCATCCAGTTGTCATCTCCAGGACTCTCTCAGTGTCAGGAGAAGGTGAAAATCCGCAAAACAAGCAACACAAGCATACGTACATACACATACGTGTACGTACCAAAATACATTGAAAGGTTTGGGAAAAAGTGTTGGGCACTAAGCCTACCCTCCTCCACCAGCTTGCCGAATCGGGCGTGGAGCCAAGATTGAGTTTCAGCAGTCATGATTCTGGGATTAAGCATGATTGTGTCGATCAGGGTTAGGAGAAAGGTTACAATATCGTCCACTCCTGCTCAACAGCAGCATCCTCGTCGTTGCCTGAAATGTTGCTTGTTTTGCACGATTGTCTTGTGCGCCCAAACCAATAGATTTTGCAGAACTACGCAGGAATTTAAGAAATTGTGCGAAATTGTGCACTCCACATGCAATTGTCGATTCCCGGCAGTCTGTCCACCGCTTGTTGTGTGCACTATGCAACATTTGCTGGCCTTTTTCCCGGGCACGTTTGGTGTGGCGTCGTTTGCCATTTCACGATTATGGCGACACAACATGGACGGAAATTTAGCTTGGCTGCACATCCGATTAACTTTGTGCGGCATTCTGACATGGCACATCCATTCTGCAGAACCTTAGCATTTTCAGCAACAAACCATGCTGGCTGTGGATGGGTAACACAGACGCAAGCCCCATGGTCGATGGCTATGACCGCCACATATTTGTGTGCATTGAACGCAATGCAACGAAATATTTGATTTCCTCGACGTCCTGGTGTGTGTGCATTATTAGCAAGTCCCCAACAATAGCATAGTGCGCTACAAACTGGGCTTTGCTATAGAATACTGTGTCTCTGGTGTGGTGTGTACGCATGTGCTGCACATCAAAATGCAGGATACTCGTTCCTCAACAGTCTCATTGGGCACTTAATGTTAATTGCTGAGTCATTACGCTTCAGACCGTGAACCAACCTTGACCAGGTTATATAGCTCGTTCGGCTTCCCCTTGTCCTGCGCCCGGCCAAAAGGGTATTTCCCAAGCACCATAGCATACAGGAAGACACCACAGGACCATATGTCGGATAGCTGCCATCACAAGCAAACGCTCAGCATGGCAGCCAATGCTTTGAGCTTAGCGAGTGAACAGCTGCATGCACAATACCAGGAGCAGGACAGCCAGTGAGCGGAGTGAATCTGAACTGGCACAAGGCGCTTCGGCAAAATAACAAATGTGCCACGTACACCACACACCACCTCACACAGCGGAATACTCGATCACAGAGCTTGTTCATCCCACCATCTTTACAGGCCACAGAATCCACCAAAAGGCAAATGGGAACAATGCAGACTGGGAATACCGAGTAAAATGAATCAGGCTCACCTTGCCATCAAATGAGGCCCCTGGTCGGTTAGTGGCAATCTCTGGTGCAATATACCTCGCTGTTCGCAACTCTTCTGGGTCAGGGAATTTCCCGAACGACTCATCCTTTGAGTACACGAAGTCGCATATCTTCAAATTGGGTGGCTGGCTGCCATCCAGCAGTGTGTTTTCCAGCTGAATATCATGGCTGACTACACCCTTTCACAACGCCGAACAAACAACAACATTCTTGTTGTGTAAAGCAGGGATATTAAACAAAATCATAGCATGCAATGACACAGCCTAACTTTCTGAACACTTTTAACAGCACAGAGTTGGTGAAGATGCAGAGCTCTTACATCACAGCTGAGGCAATGGACAAAGAATGATCATTCCGAAATTTGAGCAACTCGCAGTGCGCTTCCCCTGATGAACAAGTTATGATTTCATGCACCATCAGCAACAAAGAGCACAACATGTAGCACAGTAGGCTGTGCTGAGGATATTGTCACAGAGTCCCAGCATACCATGATATGGCAGTAGTCCAAGCCCATGATGAGCTGCTGAAAGAAGTGCCTAGCTTCAGGCTCTGCCAGACGCTTCCTTGCTTGCACATACGAAAGAAGGGTGCCCCCTTCTGCATACTCCATTGCAATGCACAGGTTCCCCTGGGTCAAAAAAGCCTAGCACATGCCCAAACTATGCAGGCTAAGGTCCAGTCAGATTTCTTCACTGAAACTGTGTGGGATGTCAAAGTTTTGTCAAGAATGACAACAAAGGGCACCACACTTGGCTTCAGGCCTTTGCAGTGCCAAGTGCTGCACTGAGGCTATGCTGCATGACTGCTTTGGTGGCAAACGATCTAGGGGATATCAACATTGCACCAACGGACAGGGCTATAAGTGCATGGGATCGGGTGTGGTCTAGGAACTGTCTCCAATAGTGGACATAGTATTGGCAGCAAACAAACAAGGGTTGAAGCCTTCTTCTCATTGTTAGTGCACATAAACTGGACGCTGGCAGCAAGATGGCGGAACATAACCCAGCGCATGACAGGAGATGTCATCCTTGCATGCATGCATTGAGCTGGCATCGATAGTATACAAACTGCAGGACTTCCAAAGTGGTGTATGATTACTATGATATCACTGCATTGCAGGCATGCAGACCATGCTTCATTGCACATATTTTGAACTTATTGAACCTCAACCATGTTTTTGTCTCGTGGCCTTTGAAAGCTACAAAGTATTGAATAGTCTCACATGGCGATTGATATTCCCTTCTGGTCCTTTGCTGGAAAGGCCCTCACAACAGTATGGCAGTCTGTGTGCTTGTCAGCTCAACATAGATGTTCTTCCAAAAGCACTCCTGTCTCTAAATAACATGCAACAAAATTCTTAGACTGACGTGACATCGGGGCCATTGAGCAGTCAACACTGCCGTAATCGATCCCACTCCATGCACATGCAAGTGTGGGGGGCCATGTTGGTAGGGGCTATACATCAGGCGTGGGGATGCTGCGACCACAAACCAAAAAGGTGCCTGGGCAGGGCTGCCCAGGCAATGGAAAAGAGAGAGCAGGGTTGGAAATGGCTGAGGGCTCATTGCAAAGCATACTTCATTTCTTCCATTTCCAATCACTGCCAGGGAGACAATTAGCACCAACAGCCCAGGTGTTGCTCCTGGCCATTCTGCAGTTTCGATGTTCTTCATCCAGAACGACATCAATTAACACTGGCAAAAAGGATTCTGGAAATTCTCACCTCATGAAACTGAATCACATGCGGATGGTACAACAATCTGTAGCAGCACACACAGATGTCCGTGAGAACCAACAGCATTGCCATGTGTGCAGCTGCACAGGAATGGGCTCCAAAAGATGCAGTTCAGTGTTATCAAAAACTGAGGACACTGCAAAGGATCACAGCAAGTGACACTCTGAGCAGGGTGAGCAACCTTTCGGGCAGACCGGATACAGGGCCAAAGCATTATAAGCGCCAAGAGTTGCTCCCACTACAGAAGACTTGCATTGCCAAATGCCATGTAACATTTGAACAAAGATATGCTCAGAAATGTGATGCAGACAGAGCAGGGCAACATGGGACAAGTTCTGCTGCACAATGAACCCTATCAGCAGGACTTGCAAGCATACAAATGTGGTTTGTTGCTCCCCAACAGCACAGCAAGCAATCACCACCCTTCAGTTTGTTGCCATTGTCAAACTTTGGTCAGGCCACCATCTGTCAAGATTACCCTTAGCCAAAGGGAAATGCACTGTACAATGGGTCATCACCTGTGATTCAAAACCTCCCGCTCTGTACATTCGTTCACCTGCATGCACTCAGAACATGAGTTTCATGCTGGGTTGGCACACTTGCATGGCACGGAGCACTTGAGCAACAGTCACTGCATGTTTGCAATTTCCAGCAGTGCACCAGCGGGGCTGGAGGAGGTCAACAGAAGAACGCAACATGGGTGAGGAACAATCTCATCTTGGCGAGCAAGAAGGCTACTGTGATGAACAAGGCAACATTTCCGCAGGAGTATGCTCTGGCTTTTGCTGTGCATGCAAGCCTCAGCAAAAGCCCAAGCACCAACATCTTAGAATTCACATCTTGTCGGAGCTTGTCAGGAAGCCTACAGCATACAGAAGTAGCAGCTGTGTGCAAGCTGAAACGTGTCAAGGAGAGGGTACGCTGGAAAATGGGACCAATGGACTAGCCTGTGTCTGCTGGGGTCTTAGCTAGTTTGCAGTTCGTTCGTAGTTTGCTGCCTGTGCTGTAACATGCGCCCATCTGTCACTCTTGCGTCTTCTGCCATTGAGCTGGTAGCCAGCCTGCAACGTATCAACTTCTGGTGGATTCAAAGCAGACCCCCAGCTCCTTTTTCACAACATTGCCTCAGCAGCAGCACAGGCAGCGCTTGGCAATGATTGTCAATCCAAGTAGGAGTGGATTCCAGCCATGCTGAATTTTCCTCTACTTGTCCCTAGTGTCCCGGCGAAGTCTTGTCACTGATGCCATTTCGTACTCCCACCCTGAAGAGTGCAGAGCTCAACTGCAAATCGAGCGCAGCTCTTTCTGAAGCATGTGGATGATTTCCAACCGTCGATCCGATTGCAATCCAATTTCAATTTGCCAAGCATGCTGTGTTGTAGCAGCATTGGGCTGTCGGCAAGGCCTTGTGTACGTGTGGCAAAATCAAATTTGCTTCTCACGATTTTGTGCCTCTGAAGCGCAGACAATGACCCCAACACCACCCCTCATTGCTGAGAGCACAATGCCGCACAAACGATGGAAGATACCAGTGCTATGTTTTCTCGTGGTGTCAACATGACTGGAAGCTGACAGCTACTTGCCCAACTTGGCAGGTCATGCGCCTTGATTGATTGGCCCATTGGGCCATTGATTGACTGAAAACGCGTGGTCCAAGTTGCGATCGAGAAATTCACCCACGTCACTTCGAAGCAGATCGCCAAGTCGCACAGGCAGGGCCCCGCAACAGCCAATAACAGCCTTACGCACCTGCACGACACCCCTCCCACGGGCCGCCTGCCCACAAACACCCACTACCCAAGCCCACTCACAACAAACTCCCCAAGGACCGAAGGAACCCAACCAGCTTGCCGGCCGCTTGGCCAAGCAAATCGCAGTGGGCCCCTGAGGCTAACGGGGCTAACGAGGCTTGCCCAGGCAGCATCCGTAGGAGAGCAAGAGCGGGGGCAAGACAGTCATCGAGAGATTCCAGATCCTCACCAGCTTGCTTCGAGGGATCATTTTTACGGCCACCGGCACGTCCGTGCCCCTGTTGCACGCCAGCAGCACGACGCCACAGGTCCCGCGGCCCACCACGCGGACCTGCACAAGCGCCGGGTGACATTCCAGCCACCAGGGTCAGCCCACGCCTTTCTCTCCACAAGCCTTGTGACAAGCAAGGGAGGCCAAAAGGAGGAAAAGGGAGTGAAATGTACAGTGGCCTGAAGGTTGGGAAGCAAAACAAGGGGTGGAGTAATATGACGGGTTGGGAAGATCCAGGTTGTGACCAACCCACCGCCTCGTAGGCTGGGTTGTCCCGCTCGAGCTCAGCCAGCTCGCGCCATTCGGTGGAGCTGTGGACCAACTTGGACACTGGAAGGGGGGTCCGCGGCAACGTGGGTCCCTTGGGAGGCTGCACAGCAAACACAAGGGGGTATCTTCTGCTATAGTGTGCAATTAGACAGTGTACAACATGTTCTGACACCGCAAGAGACTGACATACATTCCAAGCAACTTAGTTGGCATATGCTGCACTCCAAAAGTTCTTGTTGATCTCAGTTAGGATCGACTGACCTGACAGGGCTGAATGCCAGTCAAGGCCACCTCACTGTTTGCACTTGTTGACGCCATTGCCTGCACAGACACAACAGAAGTCCATACCATCACGATCATCTTCACAGATGCGGCACCCAAAAGGAATGCCATTTAGTCAAAGCATCTGGGCAAATGCAATGAGGCTGCTCATGAGTGCACCAATCCTATAACCCAGATCATGCGCTCCCTGACTGAGAATATATGTTGAAAGGCAAGCTAACGCCTTGAAGCCCCAACACATTTCTAAGGATGTGCACACCAGTTTGCCCACCTGCTGGACAATGTCTGTCAGTCTTGTGCCGACTTGCTCCATCGTGGGTCTGTCACAGGGTTCCACTGCAATACAACGCTTCATCAGCCTTGACAGTGCTTCAGGGCAGTCTTCCGGAATGGGAACTGGATTCTTCCCGTCTTTTTTCCTCTGGAGTACAATGGGATTGGAGTTCAGGCCTTTGTAAGGGGGGCTCAAAGCCGAAAGCTCAAAAAGGACCAGTCCAAAGGAAAACACATCGGCGCTGAACGCCTGAGCAGCCCCTTCACAAAGCTCTGGTGCCATCCACAAAAATGTGCCTGCCATCGGAAAGGCAGTCTTCGATCTTGTTCCGGTCTTAGTGGCAGCCAACCCAAAATCCGAGATTTTTACAACCACACCTTCTTCAAGTGGCGAATCGAACACCAGAAAGTTTGCTGTCTTGATATCGCCATGAACTACCTTATTGTTGTGCAGATGCTGCAGACCAGAGCAGGCATTCAACATCAGCTGCAATTTCTTGAGCCAGTCCCATTCATCTCCTTGCCTCCAATAGAACTTCTCCAAGTCTGTTGAAGCCAGCTCCATAACAATGCCATTGGAGGCCATTGCACCAAGGCAGCGAACCACATTCGGATGACTGAGCTGAATGTGAAGCTGAACCTCACTCAGAAACTCAGCCCTCGATTCTGGTGTCAGGTCGCTCCTCAGCATCTTGATGGCCACTGGCACATTCTTCCAACACCCCTTGAACACCTGGCCACAACCGCCCTCGCCAATTTTCTCCATCTGCACAATTTCTTGTTCTGGTATCATAGTGACAAACTCCATCCTGTGCTTTTGCTTCATCATTTGCTCCTCCAATTCCTTCCTAATTCCATCTGGTATCTGCCTATCTACATCTCTACCTTCCAGGATGCAGGTTAGATACCAATACATATAGCGTTGGTCCTCGGCCACACTGTCCGCATCCATCTTTGTCTTGATGTCAATGGTGTCCTCTTCCAAGCCCAGGTCACAAAGGCATTCTCTGAACACTAAACACATTTGCTCCACATTGCTACTGACTAGATCCACTTTGCTGAAGTTCCGAAGATCAAAACGCCTACCATGTCTGCTGATCAGGCGTGCACCCCTCTCCATTTCATCTTTCAAGATTTGCAAGACGTTCTGTGGAGTTTCTCTGTGCAATTGGGGCAGCAGGTGTTCCACCTTTTCCATTTCGTGGCACAAAAACCGGAGCATGTTCGAGTGATAGCGGGCAACAGGCAGCCCATCCTTGGCCTTCTCCACTGCTGCCTTTATTGCTGTCAGCTCATCCATCCTCAGCCTTTTGACCTTTAATGTCTGGTGCACAGAAGACTGCAGTCACTTCAGTCAGCACGCTGCAGCCATTCACTAGACAATGAAACTGAGATGACAGGCAACAGGTCGCAGGCGATGCAGACAATAAAGACAACACAGCAATGGGACCGATGTGGATTCAGGAAACGCTGAATTTTTCTGACCATTGCATCCATTGCTGGCTGGAAACAACATCGACAAGGGTACTCACCTTGCAACAGCATAAGGAATGCAAAGTGAAGCCAAACCTTCACAGGTATTAGACATGTCCACATGGAGTATGCATTGACCCTATTGCTTGAGGTCTGCAGCAGCAGGCAAACCCATCGTGAGCACTGGGCGGCAAGCAGGGAAAATGCTCGCTGCAAGAGAAGAACCTCAACAAAGAGTGGATCGATACATCAACGGTTCATTGTTTGGTTACCAATTATTTGCTCTTTCAGACTCATTGTACGGATGTGCACCATCAACAAAAACATGAAGGCCAGCTTGTTACCTTTGCGGCAGTGTGATGACAAGTGCAAATCAAACAAATTGCAGGTGCTTGGATAACGACATTATCAGCTATCAGCGAATAGGAATGGGAAGACGCTGTTGTTGTTGAACAATCCCACTGCCTGAGATATTACCGCCAACGAGGGAACGCCCAAACCAGGGCATTGTGACGCGTGTAGACAGCCAGTCCAAGGAGCCCACCTGCCCAATGTGCCTTTCCACACGCGCCAGACGAAGATCGAACACATGAATACGCCAAGCCACAGACAGCAGCAGCGGCACGAAACTGCGAAGTGGCTCCGATAGATCGGAAGGCGGCAACGAATGTACCCAGCCGAAGGGGCACGGGAGCAACTTCGCAGTGTCTTCCGTGTGAAAGGGGCCCACTCCCACACAGACCGAAGCGAGCTCAGCCACGAGATGACGACCAGGGCCACAGGGGCAGCGAGGCTGTGGGAGCACAGGCCTGAGCACCTCGCGTTCGCGATTTCTTGGGATGGGAAGTGGAGCAGGGTGCCTCCTGGAAGGCCAACAAACGCCGTGGTGCAATCGCCATGCGGATGTGACATGGGGGTGTCCCTGCGAATTGTCACGTCACACACGCACAGTAGGCAAGACCTAAAGGGAGAGAATGCAGCGGACAATGCAAAACGCCTTGTCAAAATCACTTCATCCAGCAGTTCCTCTAGCTGTTTTCTGATGTCCTCCAACTTCGGCCTCATGTGTGGTTCTTGTCTGCAGCACCGCCTAAATTTGCACCTGGTTTGTGGCACAAGGGAAAGTTGTTATTTTCCAAATATATTTAGTACCGGTTATTCTTCAGAGTTGCTGTCTGGTGTTCAGATGATGGTAATGGCAACTTTAGGGCTGCACGTTCCTGCGGGTCGCAAGGCAATGAGGACGAAGATTTTCAGACGTCGCCAGGGTCCAAAACGTAGGCGCCCTGGCCGACCTTCTCCTGGAGCAAGAAGGTCCAGATTGTTCTGTTTGAATTCACGGTGCACCAAAAGATGATGAACGCCGGGGACGACGTCAGAAAATCTTCTTGATTGAGGTGCTGAGGTACTGAGCATCGGTAGTAGTACACACGCAAATGCTTGTGCGCTTCGAATTTCAAACGCAAATCGAGTTACCACATATTCGAATTTCGAATGCAGTAACCGCACGTTCGAGTTTCGAACGCAGCCCTCACAAAATCGAATTCCAAATCGAGTACTCACAAGCACGCACTGGACTGTGTTCGGCTGCGCATGTGGGCGCTTGCCTCATCGTACAGAAGAGCATGCAAGTCAAGCGCTTTGTTGTGTTGCCAAAGGTATCTTGTCACTGGATGCCAGTCCGCCAACCAGAATGCTCCCAAGTGTAGCTCGGCATCGCATGTGCCAGAGAGGCTGTGCGATGTTGCAGCTGCCAGTCATGAATGGGTGCGCCTTACATTCCACTGGCAGAACAATGCAAAAGCTGAAATGCGGATTGCACCCAACTTCGAAGCATACCAGGGCATGTATCAATGCGAAGTCAGAATGGAGAGTGAAATGTTCATGGACATCGGGGATCTCGGCCAGCCGTATACCCTATTTCTGCTTGGTTTGCATGGATTCGACATGACGCAATCCCAGTCGTGGTCGTTGGGTTCTGTATCGATTCCCAAGCGTAATGATTTTGAGCGCATGCCATTGCAGGGGCGTCTGAATGCAAACGCCGATGTTGCACTTTGGAATTGTTTTACAAGTCGACTGCGGGATGCAGCCTCCAGGTACTGTTGGCCTCCGGGCTGCGTGCCTGAAGGCACCTTGAAAGAGACAATCGAGAAGGAGAGGCGGATGCGAAAATACATAGCCATGCTTGGGGGAAGTCAGCGAAATGGCAACGATTTCCAGGGACCGACACGAAAGACGCCAAGCCGATGAGCTGCTCATCGCAGAGATTCTCTGCTGCAGAGAAGGTGCGTGTATGAAGCTACCAGGGGAGCCTTCACGACTGAACCGTTGACAGACAATTCTGTCTCGGATTGATGCCACCTTAGAATCAAAGCGCAGAGTGTGGTGAGTGCCTTTAGTAGGTCGGTGAGTGGCATACGATTGTTATTGCGACAGAATGGAGGGTCGGGCATATGTGCCTTGTGGAGATCGCCTTTTGCACAGTTAGGTTGCAGTGATATATATCACATATATATGTATGTATGTGATGTAATGGGTTTTTAAACAAATGAATATACAAAGGACTGAAGGAATTTACCATCTTCTTTCGGCAGTAAATTTAAGGGATTGCAATGCTTGCTTTGCATCTTTACTTCAGTTGTGGGAATGCTCCGTATGGACACGCCCAGTGTGTTCTCTTGTGCGCGTGGTCTTCCAGCGGGCCAGGATGGGCACAGGCAACCATGGATCGGGTCATATTTTGGGCCTCAGGAGACAAGCACCAATGGCGTGGAGAAGAAACACCACTTCCGACAGTGTCGGCGGTGCCCATTGAAGCGCCTACCCCAGCCATCCAGTCATCGGAAAGGGCAACCAACATCCTGCATAATTGATCAATCGGTACTTTGCCATTGTGTTGCTGAAATCTGTGTCTCGGTGGCTCGATCAAGAGTTTGTTATGGGTGGCCAAATATAACGTGAGATTGAGAAGCAGTTTGCAGTTGCAGATCATGACATCTGAGTAGCCGCATGCAAGTTATCAACTTCCTCTGTCCGGAATTGAATGACACAGTTTTTGAACAGACAGCATTGGTATCACACACTTCGTAAACTTCCTTGAAAATTACATCAGGGCAACTAATATACATTTAGCCGATGAATCCAGAAAATTGTAGAAAACACATCAGATTTGTGCCTGTGGAAGGTCTTTGAAACTGAACAACTCTGGTTCAGAATGTGAACCTTCCACTCAGGCGGACATCAACCCCGCCAAACACGACGATGGAGGGCGTTGATGCTCAATCGGAGACCCGAGGTGTCTCTATGGTAGTTTCCCTGCATTCCGCGATGCCGTAACGGCGCCCTTCAAAGCGGCGCGAGCGGCGCTCGAAGCTCTCCTCGTGGTATGTGCCCAACACAGCCGTCATCACCGATGTTTTGGTTGCCATGCAGCAAGGTGGCGATCACATTCTTCCAAAATTTTCGTGGTGGTCTTAGCACGCTCATAGAGAGCGGTCCACAACCCGGCGCTGAGGCGGCAGCGGGGCCGGCAGCAGCGGGGCCGGCGGCACCAGGCCGGGCCCGGTACACCGCCGGCTGGCGCCGTACCTGGACCCGGTAGGCCGCCGGCTGGTGGCTTACAGGGACCCGGTACACCGCCGGCCGGTGGTGTACCGGGGCCAGGGGCCCAACTCTCCCTGGCGGCCGAAGGGAGGAAGGCGGGGGAGGCGGACGTGGCGGCCGAGGCGGTTGAGGCAGTGGTCCCCAATGCACCCCCACGCCGGTCCATCCAATGCAGCTCTAAAAATGCTCTGGGCACATCCTCTGGGCGTCCGGCAGCCTTCACACGGGGTGGCACGCCATCAGGGTGGTGCCAACTTTGCAATGGAATCATCTCACCCACTTCTGAAACGAATCTAATGAATCCAATTTGCGAGCCATGTGAACGACGCAAAATCCGCTCTTTCATCTATCATGCCAGGCCTACATGCGGAACGTACTGGGCGGGAGTGTTGCTGCATGCGAACATTCAACAATTTGATCCAATAATCTGATATAGGCACACTGCAGGGGCGTGTGTTCAGCATTGGTGATCGTCCCTCACACTTCATGGCCTTTTGTGCATTTTTCAGGGAGAGCAATATTCACCGGCGCTGACCGGTATTGATGCATAGACGCAAGTATTAAGAGGCCGCCGCCACACGAATACCAATAGCACGAGTGCTGAATGCTCGATAAGGCCACATGACACAACCATGTTACACGAAGGCATTGAAAGCACTGGACAACTCGCAACAACTGCCTCTGTCCCTTCTGCCCCTCATCTTGTCATCTTCGGCATCGATGGCTTTCACAATGCCCTAAGCTGCTCTTCAACTATCACGATGCCTCTTTGCTGCCCGCTAGGGTGTACAGACCAGCTACTCCACATTGGTGTCTTCAACAATCCATCAAGACTCTGGTGGGCAACTGCAAGGGTACGAGCGTCAAACCATATTCAGCAAGGGCTTGGACTTTCCCAATTCCCAGCCTGCTGCTGTACAAACGATGGCGCATATCAAGAAAAGCTCGGATATCACTTGCTCGGGGGGAAGTGAAATGCACATCCCACCAATCTCCTAACTGCCAAAAGTAAGGCATCATGGGCAGCGGCATAATGGTCATCTTTACTGCGCAATTCTGTAAGTTCAGCTCTTGCAAAAGAATTTGCAGTTTCCGAAAACGCTGTTGGGACCACCGAGATCTTCCGTTCGGCCCTCTCCAGAGCACAACGAATTTGATCCATGAAGTCGAAACCGAAGTTAGATACCATGGCCCACTTTACTCTATTGACTTCACCCACCTCCACTGTCAGCTCGCCCGATATCTGCAGCATGGCCAGTGAGATCACTACAGCGTCAAATCTGTCCACACTTTCATGCCACCGGCCAATGACAGTGATCCCTGACCACTTGATCAATGTGCGCTGGGAATTGAGCACTTCCATTACCCGAGCGAAGCACAGAACCATGAGCACAATCACCCAACAGTGAATGCGTGAGATTGGTGAGATTTCACCAACGTTTATAGGGAGCTCCAACAACGCCATGAAGCCTGCTGCCAAATACCAAAGATTGTAGCCAGAAGGGATCTGGAATTGGGGCTGACGTGTGTAATTCATGCTCTCTTCCACAGCGCTCCTGACATCATTTCTTCTTGACTCCAATATCCACAACCGGGGAAAGATGCAATTTGATACACCAATCCACTCACAACACATGTGGTTGTACAGCTCCTTCATGCAATACCCAACGGGATCAAAAGAAACACGTCCTTCAAGGCCATGCACTCCACACCAATTCTCACAAGCGGTGCCATCTTTCCTCAGCTCACACAACACATCGGTACCAAGAACACCACTATCCCATTTCAAAGGAGCAATGCTTAGTGCCGCTTGCGCAAGTATTCTCTCGTCGAATTGAGATCTAATGGACCACAATGCCCACCACGAGTTGTTGACATTAGCCATTGCCTCTCTGCTATTGCCCCAAGACCTTCGCACACCATTTTGCAACCATGTAGAAATCACATAGCCTAGAAGTGTGTGCCGCATCCACAATTGATAGACAACATAGTTCAGCACTGACAATAATGCAACTGCACAGAACTCCACCACGGATCCATTGGCACCTTGCTCCATTCGCAAGGTAATCCAAAGTAATGAACAACAGATCATGGCTAAAGTCATATAGTACAACAATACCATTGTCTTGTGCACTTCCCTGAGATCACAAGGGTGCCTGGATCTCATGAAGAGGTGCCAGAAGCCGAGCAGAAGTGGCAATAAGTGCACAAGACGCACAACGGTATACTCCACTGTCTGCATTATGTGCGCTGTGGCATTGGATGCAAGCACAATGCCTCTCACCACGCTTTGTCCCTGATGACAACAAAGACTTCGGCTCAGCAATGAACTCCAGAAACAGCACTGTTGCAAGTCTGATGGTAGTCAACACCATTGTTGCTCGTGCTTGCAACAGTAAATAGCAATGATATACTAAAAAGTGAATACATTGAACAAGCAGAAACGTGCCCACAAGCAGTGCTGCATAACATAGTACTTCTTCTCTCCCATATAAAAGTCCTCTATTTGAAAGTCAAAATTCGTTACAAGGACAGCCTCAAGTTTACAGAAGGAGGTCAGAATCATGAAGATTGGGTACCAAAACCCTCAAGTAGCAACTCTAAAGAGAAACAAGTTGGCCCTGACCTCCTAATGGAAGGCCACCGAAATTGGTCAGTATTCATCCAAAAAACGGGCACTCTGATTCTGCATCTGCTGGAGACCTGCACGCTTATGGTCGCACCCATCCTAGGTGTCCCAAAGAGAACCAGGTGCCACCAGCATGGCACAGGGCCGCATCCCTCCAAGGGATAGCGCTTGTCAAACAAGTTTGTCCATGTTTGGATACCCATTGTGGAAGGCCGTTGTTACAACATCGACGATTTCTGAATTCTTTGACATCCTTGATCTCTGGCCCACAGATCTAAAACAGGTGGATAAGGCTTTCTCCCTATGTGAGCTGTCGGTCCAAGCTTCTGTTGTAAGCTTGCTTGGACAATTTGGCTCGATTGATGCTTGAATCAAGGCTTTGCGCACAGCTTGGCTCACGCCCCACAAACTGTCACTAATGACCAGCTCCTGGGTGCAATCTGCAATCCATCACAGCCTAGTGAGTCTATTTTCACTTCGAGAGACACAATTCTATCCATCTAGCAATTCTTCTCAAGCTCCACGCCTTCCAGTCCCAAAATACAGTCGATTTCTCACTTCGTGTCCGGAAGGCCACTGCCCTAATTGTCCACCACTGATTGGGGTATTGGATACCCCCTTTCTTGTGCCTCTGCAAGGGCCTTGGGAGGCCTCCCGTAGTATCCCTCGCAACAGCGATGGAGGTTCAAAAGTTGAGGCCCAGAAATCTGGGCCGGAAAGGCATCTTCGATTCTGCTGATCGAACTTGAATTGCAGCTGGAATAAAGAGTGAGTTCCACAGTCAGGGCCTTCAAGCCATGTTTTCCATTGCCATGCTCTTTGGCAAGCACCTCTCCAATCTTCTGTCCAAATGGCACTGACAGTTTTGCAAAAATGGCCATTCTCGCAGCGATGCTGGCAATTAAGGTTTTCGTAAACAAGGGGCCCTGCCACAAGTGGTTCCAAACCCACGATACTTAACAGATTGGCTCGGCAATCTTCAAAAACTAACAAGCACAGCTCTGGAGGAAATTCACTGACAAAGCCCCTATGATGGAGAAACAATGCGCCAAAGTCACAGAGGACATTGAAAATGGGATAGAAGAAATATGTCAATGTGCATAGGAATGTCACTCCAGTGCAATGAATAAAATACGCCCAGCCATTGCAGTCCCCCATTCACCCATTCTTGTGACAGCTTTGTCACAGACAATCAGGCATGTGATGAAACACACAACATGCAAGCTCACCAGAGCATAGGCAACCCCACAGAGAATGACAAACACCCCTGCTGCCAGAAGTACTTCTGGGCGAAACAGGAAATTCGGAAAGGAGGCAATCCTGTTCTGGATGTTGTCCAATGCTCTTGTGCATGTCTCCTGCACAGTGAACATTGCCATAATTAGCTGGCAAGTGTCAGCTCGGAAATGCTCTTATTTCAAATCAGACAGTTGGTTCTCATTGCCAATGCCATACTGTGCAGGTCTTAATACTGAGCCACTGTTTTATCATTGTTGCATGAGACAACCGCATATTCACCCTTGTCATAAACTACCCAAAGCTGTTGTTTCATGTCGTTTTCTTGACGATTGCAAGGACAATGCACACAACATGGATGTGAAACCTGAAACCACAACTCAATTCAGCACTGTGCACCACGCCCAGACCTGATGTCGGAAGAATGTTTCATAGCTGGTATGTTTATCAAACAGAATTTCACTGTCCCAAGTTCTTATCCTTGGCAATTTGGAGGGATTTGCATTGGCACAGTGCAACATCCATGCCTTCAACTGAAAATATGGGAATGTGGTAGTTGCAAGCAAAACAACACGTCATTAAATTCCAGCTCATATCGTCATAGGAAATAAGGCAGGCAAGAGCATTCAATACCACAATGTTCTGCTGATGTGACTGAACTCCAAAAAATACTTAACAATTCGCAGATTTTCTAGACATTCATACCTTTGTGCCATATGCTGTAGATAGGTAGGAGCTCAGTTGTTGCATGGAAGGCCTTTCAGCTGGCTCAACAGAGCAACACTTGTTCATCATTTTCAGCAAGTCTTGTGGCCAGTTCTCCTTCACTGCTGGTGTGATTGGACAAGGCTTCTGTCCTGACAATTTCATCATCATTATATCTGCCTCTGTCATCCCCTTAGCATAGGGCACTTCGCCTGTCACCAGCTCAAACAGGACGAGGCCAAAGCTGAAGACATCAGATTCCATGCTTGAGACCTGACCTTTGTATAGCTCATTGGCAGTCCACCGCAATTCACTGCCTTTGATGTTTGGCTGGTTTGTGGCTGGTTGCGCTCCAGAGAGCTTGACAGTACAGGTAGCAAGATCGTCTCCGAATACCAGGATCTTGCTGCTTTTCACGTTTGCATACACATGACCCCTGTCATGGATAGATTGCAAAGCTGCTGAGGCTTTGTGCATTAACTGCATCTTGTGATGCACATCGCCCATATGGGAATCTATATGAGATTTGGCCCATTCCATCAAGCTGCCAGTCGCCAGTTCCATCACAATCGCACCCGATGTGCTGACACCATAAATGCGGACAACGCTGCCAGGGTCCACATTTATGTTCTTGAATACCTGCGCATAAAAACTGGCAAGTTCCTCAGCTTCCATTTCCAGCCCCTCAGCACCAATGGCCCTTTTCATGGCAACTTTCTGGCCCTTCCATTTGCATTCGTGTACATCATGTGCAATCAGTTCACCACACTGAATGTCATCACAGGGGATGACTTCCAGTGTCTTCCTCTTCAGGCTGAGATCAGCCTTGACTGATTCCCAGTGCTGCTGCACACCCGGCTCAAAGTTACTCAAATCACACTCAGCATCTCTTAACACGTATCTGAGGCAGCCAGCAAATCTCCTGTGATCCATTTGCCACGTTTGGGGAGGCGCTGAATCGTGGCCATCCATGTCCAGCTCCAGATTCCAGTGCACTGCAAACGAAGCAGAAGCTGTACACACTCGATGTATAAAACTCTGAAGAGCGTGTGTACTGTGGAAATTGCAAATGTCAAAGTGCTCGTGTGCACTAATCACATCGACCACATCCTGGAATAAACCTGCGATTGCCGTCAAATCTTCTCTCCATTCTCCCTCTGATCTGCCCTTTGGCAGGCCCCATTCACAGCCCAGCAGGGCCTGGGCTTTCTTCTTGAGGAAATCAATCATGCCTTGATGATACATCATATTCTCCACATTGACTCTTGCTATGTGCTCCAGCTTGTTTCGAAGCTCTTCCACCTGGTGTACACATCACTCCACACTGTGCACTTAAGAACTGAGCAATGCAGCTGCAAAATCAAGTGCTGCTAGTATTTGACAAACCACCAAGCAGTCGTTGAAGACAAGCTGGCAGACTTCTGCAACACAATGCTTAAGCCATGCTTCAGGGCATTGCACACACAAATGCTCATGGCTGTACAACTGCATATGCCCTTCTGTACCCACCTAGACAAATGCACAAGATACAGATTCATGAATGCTACATGCCCTTATTCTTGCATTTGGTTGTATTACACAAGCCTGTCCATTAATCAACCCCACCAAGACCAAAGCTTGGCTGTGAATCAATTGCAGAACCAAAGATGATTAACGATGGCACTGACATTTTGGCACACCACCTTTCAGTGGACTTCGAGAATGGCAGGAACCAATGAGACTTGATGATGAAAAGGAACAAGACTTGTGGAGAATCAATGCATTATTCCTTTTTGAAGCCAGCTTGTACCAGTGTCCACAGGGTGATTTGAAGAGAGTTTCAAAGAGAGTTTCCCTTTTCTATTTTGTCCAAAGGGTGATTTGGAAAGAGTTTCAAAGAGAGTTGCACTTTTGTTGTGCACAGGGTGATTTGAAGGCTATTTGGGATACCATACTTCTTTTCATGTGGCTATGGTCCTGATGCCGTTTCCTACTCAATTGCCCCAGCATGATGCTTCGCAGCAACACTTTCACTAGGAGGCAAACAAGTGCAGGTTCCTGCACATGAAGCATGTATGGATCCCAAGTCTCGGAGTGTGGTACTTTGCGCGCTTGAATGTATACGAACATTCCCCTGGTCCAGTGCGGGCGAAACCAACATTGATCTTGGGTGAGATAATCAATCCATTCATTGGATTCTCCAAAGCCAAGAACCCAAAACAGAAGAGGAAGCACATCCACAGAAATCAGGAGGGAATCTGGCCTGATGTTATGTGCTTCAATGCTTCACAATATTACGTTTCTTGGGGGTAAAGAAAGTATTTGAAAGGGCTTCGCACCCTGCACGTCCCACCGCTTCTGGCTTCTCCCCCCCCCCCCCTTTTCTTCCCCTTCTCAGCAACTTTGGGTCACTAGTGTGACTGATTTGGCACATCCTCAACTGCCACTGGCACAGCCAACACTGCCCAGTACAGGAGTTGAGTACAAAAGTCGAGTTGAGCATACTTTGGATGTGGTGCCAACACAGCTGATTTCGACTTTCAGTGTAGACTGGCAGGAGAGCAAGTACTCGTCCTCCTGCAGATCAGCAGCCACATCGAGGTGCAATTTGTCTTTGAACTGCATCTCAGCTTCTGCATCAATGTAATCCACCTATTGAAACACAGAATTCCTCAGTACACACAAAAAGAAAAAGCCACTGAATACACACCAAGCAATATGTACATACTTATAAGCATATAAATATAAATACACAAATAATTAACTAAAAAACTAACTAAATAAACAAATATTTAAATATAAACATATAAATATATAAATAAATATAAATAAATACATAAATATAAATATATATATATAGTACTTAAATTTGTGTAGTATCAGCTCATGCAACAACCTTCAAGACACCGCTTGGCAGTGAGAAAAGCCAAATTCAGCACCAAGAAGTGGTGCAATGACCTCGAAGAAGTAAGAGTTGGAGCTAAGATTGCACCTTTCGTAACTGTGGCCTTTGTTGCTGGTGGTATCACATCAATATCACAAGAACAAGCATGAACGACTCATGCAGCAACGATCAAACATAATTACCAAATCCGGACCATCCACATGCAGCAGGAACAACAAATTGAGCCAACAAATGAGTATCCAGAACAAGACAAAGGCAGTAGCAAGACAAGAAATCGAAAATTGAGTAAAGCCGAACAAAATTCAGAGAGTGTGCACCCTTGACTTGACCTTTCGATGATTACGACTAACATGGTGCTGAATGCAAACCTGCCTGTGCAATCGCCACATCTCATTGACGTTGCTTCTTAAACCCCGTCTGGCCATTTAACTCACCTCCACTGGGAAGACAACACAACCTGGTTCAGGTTTCCTGACTTTGGCACGTTTCAGTACTTTGCCAATGAATTTTTCCAGAACTGCCATTATTCTGTACTTAATCGTTCGCTCCATCTGCGGATTGGCAGTCACATCAGAAAACTTCATGCCATTCATCTTCACATCAATCATGCCCCGATGCCTGTTGGTTCCCTGCAACACAACACACAATGGTAAGCTCAAGACACAGAGTACATCCAAGCCACAGATGGGCACAGTGTTGTTCACCAACGGTCAACACTATAACGGATTCGCTCAGAAGGCATTCTGGAGAAAGAACATCCTTTAAACAGCGCCGCAGGAATTGCAATATCACAGTCAAATAAATCGCTGCAATCTTCAAGTGGAGACACATGATGGCGGTTGTGACTGTGTGGAGACAAGTCTTGCTCTTTGATCTCCTAAGCAATGCTGCCACGGAGCACTACTGCAACAGTTTGCAGTCAGCACAAATGAGTGTCACTGACCTGAAAATTGGTGCTTTGCTCTCTTCCACTGAACAAAACCTGTGGCAAATATCAAATGACATACAATTTAATATCGCAATGGCACCACAGCAATTTTGGCACTGCGGAGTGATATTCAGCAAGTCAACTTTCCATCCATCGAAACATCCTAGTCACTGCCTGAGTTACTTGTGGGCAATTCACAGCTGAACAGCCCCAGCATGCATCACCAGGAGTGAGAGCACACCACTGGGGGTGCAAAACCTATGGTCAAATTTACCTCATGCAACAGTGCCTCTAGCTGTTTCCTAACATCCTCCATCTTGGGCCTTGCAGCTGGTTCTTGTTTGCAGCATCGCCTCATGAGCATCTTAAATTGGGGGGGGCACTCTTCACTGTCGATATCACATGGATCCTGAACTTCCACCATCTTCCTGTACATTATGGTGGCTTCACGGTGGTATTGATGGCCAAGGTCATCAACATCATATGGGGACTTTCCAGTCGCTACTTCGTACATAACCACTCCAAGTCCAAACACGTCTGAAGCTGAAGTGTTGGGCTGTCCCTTGTACGTCTCTGGAGCCAGGTACTCAAGTGTCCCACCTCTGCACCTAATGCTGTGGATCCTGGTTCCTCGCCATTCGAAAGTCAGCCCAAAGTCACTGACCCACACTTCCAAAGCATGAGGACTTCCAGATCCTTTTACAACAAGGAGATTGGAACTTTTTATGTCGCTGTGAACCAAGTTCATGGCATGCAGATAGCTCAAACCTGAGGCTGCTTGGAGAAGAATTGAGATCTGCTGAGCAAGGCTCAGCTTCTCCCAAGGCATCCGATGACGGCACAAATCCTGGACATTGCAATCTGCCAGGTTCATCACCAGCCACTTTGATGTGGTGGTGGCAAGAAATTTGACAATGTTTCGATGCTTCAACTTTGCATGGACAATAACTTCCTGGAAGAATTCTGCAAACTGCTGAATGGGCATTGTTGCTGGAGTGATTTTGACTGCAACTTTATGGGAACCCCAAGTGGCCTTGTACACAACACCAAACGACCCTTCACCAATCTTATCCGATGAAATATCAAAAACAATAGCATCATCATCAACTGTCGGCAAGACTCGCCATTTTTCTTGCTGGGTCGTCTTGATAGCTTCAAAGGCTGGCCTCCAGTCGTCCTTGATACCATTGTCCACATCTTTCAGAATGTAGTTGAGAAGGTCGCAGATGTACTTCTCATCCTTCTTCACTAATGCGTGTGGTATTTCGTGATGGATCTCCACTCTGGCCTCCATTCCCCACATCACAAGGAGGCGTCTTATATTCCCACACATATCTTCCACTGCCTTGTGTGCACTTCCAGACTTGTAAAACTCCACAATATCAAAGCGCCTTTGATGCCTGGCAAGGAGCCTCTGTCCCATTTTCACATTAGACTCAAAACGCTTCCAAGATTCCAAGGTCGCTTTTTCAGGTTTCTTCAAATTTTCAACCTTGCCCAACTGTTCCTTCAGAAAGGCCATCAACTCCTGATTGTACTGGAACTGTTTCCAGAACAGACACACCCAACCATCACACATTGGAAGCAAATGATGCACACCTGCAGGTGACATGCTCTCCTCACCATTGTTTGATAACAAATGAGAACTCATCAATGTGGCACTATTACTGGACTTTGATCTCTGCAAAATTATATGTTTAGTCGGAGAAATGGGCAGTTGTACAAATATAGACATGGTGAAAGTGAAAGTGGCATCACATGCAATCCTTCCATCCATCCAACCATGCATCCAACCATCAAAAGCTCTCAAATTCGCCCAAGAAGAGGTTCCTGGGTCTCATCTCACCACCACCATCACTCGACAAGGTCCAGAGCTAGAAGCATGCCTTAATTTTGCCTCAGCCAGTAGCCGGTATTCACATTGGACAACCTTGTGGAGGAATCGGCAGATGATATGCCTGCCTGATACACAATTTGGCATTGAGGAAGCAAAGGATACCATTGGTACATCATTTTTGCGTTTTATCTCAACTTCTGGCCTCTCGTGATACAAGCACGGAAGGTGGTTATGATCTAGAGGTCTTGTTTGGCCACTACACAAAGCCCATCAATAGAGTTCACTGACACAATGAGCAATTTGGATCCCAAACTGCAAAGAACTTGGAAGAAACAGGTGTCAGCAGGACGCTGCACTTGCAACAACTGACTTTTTTGTCACTGGGGGTTACACGCGATGTTCCAAGTTGAAAGTGGCTGGTTTTGTGGCGCTGGCTGTTGCAGTGTCAGAAAATGTCCTTCAAGAGACTCCTGAGAGCATGATGCACAACACATGCATAAGGTAGGGGCTGCTAACCATTCTGCTGTCCAACGACTCACAACTGCAATGTTTAATCTGGAAATGCTGACTGCAGCCAATACCTGAGGTCAGGAAACACTAATCGAAGCCACTTCAAATAGCATCGACTGCCAAGATCAGTTCCAGTTCATCCCTGAGATTCTCACCTGTGACTGCATGTGCATTACAGCCATTGCTCCACAGCCATTCACTCCTGCTGCCTGCAACGCCACTTGGGTCCTCAGTATTAGTTGAAGTACATAGCAAAATGTATGTCACCACCTGATTCAATTCTCACACATATTACACAAATGCAGTCACCTCAATCCATTCTCACAAATGCAATTAACCTTCACAAAAATTCCCCTCCTTGCTTCTCTTACAACAACAGGTTATCCAAAGCAGTGGAACGCGTATGGCTCAATCTAGACAGAAGACGAGGAGACAAAGCAATAATATCAGTCAGCATACCAGCCATGCTCCAGCTGACCGCTCCTCACTGGAGCAACAAGCCTCAAGTTTGTATCCCTCCATTGGACAGCGAACCACTGATGTAGCGGCCTCTCCAGCAGCAGTCTATATTGGCATCAAAAGAAACAATGCTGTTACCGTTAAGCGCGATAGCGTTAAAAAATGCGTGCAAACAAAATCGGCGCAGTTTGGCTCGCAGCCTGGCCGTCACCCGTGAAATGCTTCCGAATTTCTGTGCCAATCGAAGCAAATATCTACAGCATCTCAGCAGCTCACCTGAGGCGAAGCTGCTCCCTATATTGGTAAGGTCGGGAGAGGTGGGGCCCCTACGGGTACACAATACAGAGACCGGCAAAATCGTCATTGTCCACGGGTGACAAGGGCCTACGCGACAGCCGTGTGAGGAGCGGTTGGCCAAAACACAGGGATTCTGGTGCCAATTCTGAATACGCCGAACTCATCTCACTGGTGCTGCCCTCGGCGAAGAACGAGAAACACGGCAAGCGCGCCTTTGAATAAGGAGATCCCCTCTGAACGGCTGCTCGGCAAAGATGGCGAAAGCTGGGACCAGGCACCTGCCGAGGCGTCGAGGCATTGCATGTTGTTCTGCAGCCGCAATCCAGAAGTTGATCAGGAGGCCTCCGCAAAGGATGGAAACGGGGTTGGAGCTACGACAAAAACGGGTCCAACGTTGGGACCGGCGCCGTGACAAAGGCCAATCGATCTCGCACGAGTCAAGGGACAGTCATGCACGGATGAGCGAAGGGGCGGTACATCCGGATGGGTACCCGGTGAGTCCTGTGCACAACCAAGCATCTCCAGTACAACCGGACGCGTCCGATTTCACGATTTGTTCCTCCGTTCTCCTTCCTCCTCGGGACCCCACTTCGATTACGTGATCGAGGCCCTGAGCCCAGTCTTGCTCCTCCAATGTTTCTGCTGCACAGTTATCCGTTACGACACGGATCCTTTCAGCCGGCGGGCTGCGACCACCTGTGGGTCCGGTTGGAAGGTGGTTGAACGGTATTTGGGAACACTGTATGATGTTGCTGCCTGCTAGGAATTCCGGATGAGAACAGTTGCACAAAGAACTCCAGGCCCCCCGGTTTTATACGCCCTGCGCCATACCCAATTGAGGGAGGCGCTTGCCTCAGGCCACCGTTAGTCTGTTGCAGCGTGTCTCTTACGAATTGCGACACCTCAGATTCGCAGAGACTCTGCAACCAATTGTGCGACAATCCTCACGACATCAGGATGTGCACGCCCGCCAGGAGCCTCGTCATCGCATTCACTATCACAGCACAGCAATTGCATCCAGTGGGCGGCTGGCCAACGCGATTCGCAAAACTCACGCAGGAGCGCGCCTCATTGCAAAGTCGCCGAGACAGTTCACACAAAGCGTCACACAATGTGTAGCCCATGCGATCGCAATGGGTTCCTGTCATTGTCAGCAGAAAAGAAGCAAGGGGATGTCCAGCTGTGCTTGGGGAGGTCACACTGCAATGTGCGTTGCAACACATAGCACACAGCTGTGAGAACAATACAGAACGGATGTGCACCGTTCCTTGCACTACTGGCGTCCATCTTAAGTCGGAAAAATTGCTCCTTATCATAATTCACGGGCGCGTGCCATCTCCAGGGAAGTTTGTGCCCCATCGCTCCCGCCTTGCCCTCTGCGAATCGTGCATGCGATACAGCTGTTCCTGCTTGATGGGATCCTCTCCCCGCCCGACACACACAAGCACACACGGCCAAGGCCCATGGCCATGGGGCTCTTAGAAATGGCCAGCGTATGAGGTCACCTCATATGAGGTCACCGTGACGCATCAGACGACGCGCGAAGTGACCGACTTGCTGAGGAGGGTTCTGAACGTAACGCGGAGATGACGCAAGGGTGGCAGACTCGACAAGGTTCCTCCCCATTGGTTGGAAGACTGACCGCTCGCTGGGGAAAGCCTGCCACGGTGCCAGTAATACGCAATTCGAACTGGCCGACTGCCCACTTGGGAGTGCGGCAGCCGCTCCCGAGAGCAAATCTGTGAGCATCACAAGGTGCCCAACCGCATGTCCTCATTCAGAAATGGGAAGTGCAATAAACTATAATAAACACACATGGCACCGGCCAAGTGCTTTTGCGCTCTTGGAATGCAACCGCCAACGTGTAACCCATTCGCCAGCTCAATTTGGGTGGGATGGGGGTGGGGTGGGGGGAGCTGGGTCGGAGGTGGACTAGTACCATAGAGCCAACATTCTCATGCCACGGCATTTCCAGTCAGCCTGCCTCAACCCTGCGGTCCAGTATGTGTGGTGTAGACTGCAAAACCTTGGTGAGGCGGTCCCTTGGTAATTGTGAGAGAAACACCGCAGCCTCAGGTAAGACGGGACAGCAGGAGATGTGCAAGTCCCCAGCACGAGTAACACAGCCATCTGTCTTCTCAAGGGGCGAATGCAAGCCAGCTGTTATTTTCATCTGTTTCTCGGCTGCTATTCGGTTACATGTCATGAAAAGTTCACGCCCACAACATGCAATGGGACCGTCTTGACCTAGAATTTTGGCAGCGCGCCAAAACGACTGCCAGCTCGAGATAAGTTCAGAGCGCCAATTCTGCTGTTCACACCCAATGGCGAGAGCGCCAGCCACCATGACATGCAATACACAACGTCTACAAGGAATCGAGGGAATTTCTGCACGACGGTAGTACAATATAAGGCGAGACTTGGGGGTGAAGGCATGTTCCGATAACCCAGCAAACCCACCCAAGGAGAATGCCATCTGACCATCAACCCCACGTCCTCACCATCGGATACTTCAGGCCCAGCTCGGACCAGCTTTCGGTCATCCGTATCCTGGGCCCCAGATCCGGAAACCAGTTTCCAAATCCTGGAGACGGCTTGGGGCCCCAAGTTGGGGCTAATGCCGCAGCCTGTCGCTCCCCAGTCTGCGTAATGTGATCATCTTCAACGAGGGATTGCATGGGCAACGTTTCGGCAAGTGTCGCCAGAACAGCGCCACACCTCGTCTCACTGTTCGCCAAGCGCCACAGGCAATTGCCCAGAATTATCGCGCCCCACATGCCAGGTGAAAGCGCATCCTTAAAAACCTCCGCGGCCTGCCACAATCAATTTCCCCACCTCCCACATGCAGCAGTGCATGCAACGCAATTGCCAAGCCCCTGAACTCTCCCCGACCGGCAGCACATTTCACTCTTTAAAGCCACCAACAATCGCACAATACCCCTAGCAGCGCACAAGTGGCACACTACCACGTTCTCACAAGCGACCCCCCACATTCTCTTCGCTGCAAAAACGCACATCGCACTGCTGCCCCCTACCTCAGTACACTATCCCACACTAGGCCAGACCCCTAAATCCACTACTTCACACCCCAATACTTCTCGTCAGCCCCCCTGCCTCGGCCGGTCGTCCCAGGACCCCGGGTCCCAGCCGTTGTCCTTCCCCCAGCAGTACATCTCCACCAGCTTGGCCTCAAGCCCCCCCGCCGCCGCCAGCCGCTCGTAGGCCTCGTACAGGTGCAGCGCGGCGCGCGCGTCCTCGATGGAGTCGTGGGTGTGCGCCTGGATGTCCAGGCCCAGCAGGTAAGACGACAGGAACCGCAGGCTCAGCTTGCGGTGGTGCCGCAGGTGGAACAGCTCCACCGTGTCGATGATCTGCCGGCAGAAGAAACAGTGAATAGAGGGCTGTTCACAATATAGTGGCACACAATGCAATTGTGACAGTCCAATTGTATTTCAAGTATAATACTGCAATATGAAGTATTTCGAGAAAATTCATCGCCAACAACAAACAAAAGCTAGAATGGGTCAAATGGTGCATTGCACCCTCTCGGACAATCCGCCACAAGATTTAGGTCTTGCAGCACGCACTTGCAGCCACGGTGCCCGTGAGAGCACTTGTGAAACAGCAATCTCAGGTTGCAGTCGTGATTGCCACCATACTTCTGATCTCTATTAACTACATTACAATTCATCACGCATAACCTATTTATTGGTCCAGTCGCATGCAGAGAAAATTGTCCATGGGGCCCATTTCCAGCCGGCCGGACTCCTTGTCCCACCCAGGTCCACACACACACTGGACCAATACATTACACGACACTGTTTGTCCCAATACAACCCGAGGTACCCACAACTTTGTGTGCCCAATCGCTTCGCTAGTAGTTAAGCCAGTCCCATACAAGACTTAACCCTTGAGTCAGACCCACCACTCCCGTTCCAATGTCCTTAACTCCCACACTTGCCCATCTCAACCGAACATCACCCTAATAGGGGGGGCCGGGTGGGAAGCGAAACAAGATAAGGTGGGGGACCGAGGGGTGAGCCTAAGTAGCCTCCCCGTTCGCGCCCGCCAAAACCCACCGCTCCCAAGGGCGCCAAAAACCATTGGCCCTCCTTGAACGCGCCGGGCCAGCCACTGACCCAAGGTACAGGGGGACAGAAACCCCAAGGGGCCGCCAAAACCATCGTACTTTAAGCAGCGCTGGCCCAAGTGGGCCAGCGCGCCCGCCCCTCGTCGCCCTGGGCGGAAACCACTTAACAAGATAGTTAATCCCATTTCCGCCGGGCCGGGCTCCTTGTCCCACCCAGGTCCACACACACACTGGACCAATACATTACACGACATTGTTTGTCCCAATACAACCCGAGGTACCCACAACTTAGTGTGCCCAGTCACCCTCAAACACGCTGCGCTCCTCCGGAGCAGAAGATGTGGCCATACCTGTCATGCAAGTCCCGGGCGGTAATCGTCATCCACCCGAAAAGGCGATAGTCCCACTCTGATGGGATGCGATACACATCGATGTACCGCCAGAGGGCAGCGCCCCGCCAGTCGCCCCAGTGGCGGATGCGCTGTTCGGGCACCTCCAAGGCGAAGCAGGCCGACGCCCCACCCGCGCGTAGACCGTGGTGATCGAAAGCGCCCGGGTGCAGATCGGGCGAGGAGGCCAGGAGGTCCCGGAACCAGGAGGAAACCGTGCGGGAGGACGGGTCGCGCTCGCCCGGGAGAGTGAAGAAATGCGTCGGCGTCCCATTGGCCTCCGCCCAGGCACGATCCCGAAAGGCGCCCCAACGAAGGATTAAGTCCACGATCTCGGGGGCGCCCTACGACGGCCAGGAACGGAGGCGGACGGACGGGTCCGAATCGGGCTTGAGTTTGGTCTTGCGCTCCCGGAAGATCACGACGCCGTCGGTCACCCGCACGTCGTCCAACAAAATGAAATGGCCGCTTTGGGCGCGGTTGAAGAAAACGAAGTCGAGAAGGGCGGAAACGGACGCCCGCAGCATGAAGAGGTCCTCGGTGTGCAGTCCCCGCTCCAGCACGTGGAGCATTAAGGCCGCCGGCACCGGCGCATGAGCGGCCGCAGGCTCCGGGCACTGACGACGCCAAGACCGGGTGAGCAAGCGGGTCACCCGGTCGAACGCCGAGAATTGCAGATGGCCGGCGACCTGGTGCACCATCGAAATGGCGGCCAGGTACTGCGGGAGGCTGCGGACGCCCACCCGGCCCTCCTCCCACAAGAACTTGATGTAGCGGTAGATCGTGGCCGGACGGGCGGGGAGGGCCGGGAGGTCCACGGAGGCGCAGAACGCCTGGAACTTGGCGAACTTGGCCTGCATGGATCGCCTCGTCGACTCCGTGTAGAAAGACAAGAACTGTGACTGCATCCACGCGCAGTCCGATTGCAGCAGGCCGTCAACATCCAGCCCGTAGAGGGGATGATCTGTAGGCATAGGCTCCACTGGCAACGGGTCATCCGGCGGGAGTTCGGGCCCCCCGGCGGAGGAACTGGGCGCCCCCTCTAGGGAGCCGGCCGAGGGCGGATGTGGAACGCCCGGAGGTTCCACTTCGGCGGAGGAAGGTCCGCCGGAAGACTCGGATCCCCGGGGCGAAACATCCCCGGATGGCGGGGAATCAGAAGATCGTCCGCCGCAAGAGTCTGGAGAGGCTGAAACCAAAGCGCGCTCGGCCAATCCGGCGCGACGACGACAGCCTCCACGGCGGGCCGAGCGGCGAGGAAGGAGACGAGCCGGGGAAGGAGGCACCAAGGGGGGTTGCACCAGTTGGTGTCCCCCGTCCAGTCTTGGAGAAAGGCGTCCGTCCCCGCGCTCCCCACGTCCGCGTGCAGGCTGTTGTACCGTGGGCAGAGGGAATTCGCCGCGGAAGCAAAGCGGTCGCACGTCCGGCGACCGAAGCGTTGAGTCAGCCGGCGGAAAATAGCCGGGTGAAGCTGGTAGTCGTCCGCCACCCGCACCCGGGATAGCCGGTCCGGTATGACGTTGTCCGCCGACCGAATGTAGTTCGGGTCGAGTAGGAGGTGGCGCGCCGAACAGACTCGGTGCCTCTGACGCAGGGGGGTGAGGAGCTGCTTGGAATGGGTAGTCATGCTGCGCAGGCAGTACATGACCACCTGGTTGTCGACCAGCAGCTTGAGTCTCGAAGGAAGGCCATGGGAAGCAGCCGGAAAAAAGCTGAGAATGGCTCTCTCCACCGCCTGCATCTCACGCACATTGATGTGCGTTAAGGAACGGTCCCAAAACCCCCTGGCGAGGAGGGGGCGGGACCTCCCCGGAGGAGCGAAGGTGGCCCCCCAACCGGTGAGACTGGCGTCCATTGCCAGAGTGCCGGCGAAGGGGATCGCGTCGGGGTTGAGTGGACGGCCTTCGCAGCAGCGGATGTTGACCCACGCCTCCAAGTCCAGCCGGGCTTGGGGGGAGAGGATCAGGCGATCCCGCCAGCTCCGCTTGGAACGAAGAACCGCATAGAGACTTTGCAAGAAGAACCGGGCCAAAGGAAACGCCAAATAAAGGGAAATGGCAAGGCCGCAGAAACGGGCCAAATCCCTGGCCACAACCCGGCGGGCGGATCGCAAAATGCGAGCCTGATTGGCGATCAACGCGGCCTTTTCCGGGGGAACCTCAAAACGGCCATGGGCCGTGTCCACAATCACCCCCAAATGCTTCTTGCATGTAACGGGGGCCCATTGACATTTCCGCTCCTTGAATTGGATGCCCAGTGAGGCAAACACACCCCGAACCAACTTGGACCACTTTGTCAAACGAGCGGCATCATGCATGGCAGCCAAAAAATTATCAAGATACGCCAACAGAATGGCTGGCGGTTCACTAGTATACACGCGAAAATATGTAGCTATTGAGTCATCCCCCGCTAAGCAGCCAAAGCGGAAATGGCGAGCCGCCTTAGGGCAATTGCTAGGGGACCTTAAGAAACGCCCCACAACAAGCATGAAGTGGGTGAAAAAGAAAGGGGCCAAAGAGAGGCCAAAAGGGAGAGCTCTACAAGCGAAAACCTCGGCTCCCATTCGAAATTGGAGGAAACATTCCTCCGATTGACACACACGCAGATGATGATAAGCATCTTTGATGTCAAATCCCACCAATGAGTCACCCCGGCGGAGTAAGTGACCGAAGTCACATAATTTCTCGTAACGAAGGCCCACCTTGCGAAGGTGACGGTTGACCCGTCGCAGATCGATACAAAGTCGGTACTTCATGACGCCATCCTCCCGCCCTTTCTCCACAAGGAAGGCCCGAGAGATGCGCGACGTGGGGCCCGGCTCCACCTTGGTGATCGCGCCCGAAGAGAGATAGTCCGTGCGGAGAGATTGCCAGGCCGTCCGTTCCTCCGGGGAGCGAAGCGGGTAGGAGCCCTCGTCGAAAGCCGCCGGCGGTCCACGCGGGCCCCACATGAGCGGAGTCCCTGAATGGATCCATTGGAGGATGCGGGAGGGGGCGCCGATGCGATGCCACGCCGAAAGGCGTCCGCGGACTCGATTGTACGGGAAGTCCTTCACTGAGCCGGCTTGGGGGAGGGGCCCGGAGGGCGAGATCCCTTGTGGGCCTTGGGGCCGGTCGAGGGGGCCGAGGTCGACGGGGGGGAGGTAGACTTCTTGGCGGCCGCGGTCTTGGTGGCGTGCTTCAATTCTTGCGTCAGAAGCTCCTTGCGCATGCGCTCGATGGTCCCGTCGACGCAAGCGGTGCCGAAGCGCAGTCCGTGGTCGGCGAGGCGGATCTCCACCTGAATGGCCCGCCACGATCCCTCCAGGCCCGAGCCCTTGTGCTTGGCGTGGATGCGCTGCAAGGAGAGCTGGTCGTGGAGAGCCTCGGTGATCTCTACGTACAAGTAAAGGTAGGGGAGGAGGAATTCCCGTACGGACGCCGGTAGATCGGGATGGGCAGCCACCTCCACGAAGGCCGCGGTCATGTCGAACAGCCAGGAGACCGGAGGCGCCCAGCCCGCGTACTCCTGGAAGTACCCGGAGTTCGTGCCCAAGGCGTTGGCGACCGCGCTCCCTTCGGCGGTGTCGTGGACGTCAAACCAGTACGGGGAGCGGGCGCCCGCCGGTCGGGCAACCGGGTTGTTGACTGACTGAGGGAGGAGCGCCGGGTCGGGCAACCAGCAGGCTTCGATAGCGGAGGTCGGAATACGGTTGTTGAACCGGCGAGCTTGGTCCCGGCACCACTGCTCCGCAGGGGACGGGTTCATAGGCAAGCACTCGGCAAAAAGCCGGAGGTCGAGACCCACTCGGTGGGTCCGGGTTGTGCCAAAGGGTTGGCGCGAAGCGAAACAAGATAAGGTGGGGACCGAGGGGTGAGCCTAAGTAGCCTCCCCGCTCGCGCCCGCCAAAACCCGCCGCTTCCAAGGGCGCCAAAAACCATTGGCCCTCCTTGAACGCGACGAGCCAGCCACTGACCCAAGGTACAGGGGGACAGAAACCCCAAGGGGCCGCCAAACCCATCGTACTTTAAGCAGCGCTGGCCCAAGTGGGCCAGCGCGCCCGCCCCTCGTCGCCCTGGGCGGAAACCCCTTAACAAGATAGTTAATCCCATGAACAATCGATTCCGAACAAACAATCTGATTGGCTCCCACGCCCACCATCGCCTATCAGGTGCACGGGCCGCGCTTTGTCATTGTATGACAAACACAATATATGGATTTGTCATGCAAGAAAAGCGGCAACAACGGCAAGAGCTACCTAGCCCCCACACACGCATCCCCACCTGCTCCTCGGGCACCACGATGTTGATGATCTTGAAGTCCTGCCCCAGGCCGTGGCCCACGAACACGCAGCCCCGGTCCACCAGGAAGCGCAGCTTCATGGCCACCCGCTTGAGGGTGGTCAGGTAGTGCGGCGACGTCTCGACGTCCAGGTCGCCCTCGCACAGGCCGCTGAAGCGCGTGAGGTAGTCCTGGATGGGCTCCAGGGCCCGGACGTAGTCGTCGATGAAGCACACGCCCGCCAGGGCGCCCTCGCCGCGCACCACGCTCACCCTCCCCACGATCAACCTGGGGAGGGGCAACAAGGCCAAGGCACAGGCGTTGAGACTTCCTATTCTGTGAAATCGGCGTCTCTGAGACCAAATTCGTCGGTCTTGACATTGATTGATTGGCGAGGACGTCGAGTTGCTATTCGATGAGTTGTCGTCAATAATTGATCAACCGGGTATCAATAATGACCGAAGGTCGAAAAGGTATTTCGGTACGCCGCACGTAAGTACAGGAGCAGGTCATGTGCGGACGGTATTTTCCCGGTGGTCTGTATTCTGTGTGGAAGGGGCAAGCGAATAGTTCGCGGACATTGAGCAAATGGCATATCCTTCTCGATTCGGTCTCACGTCAGTAAAAATAAAAAAAACACTTAGAATAATAAAGAAAATAACTTCAATTAACAGATAGATCACTGCGTAGTCAAATCCGACATCATCATATTTAGTCACGCGACATAAGTTACTGCCCTCTTACCTCGCACTTGTGACACCAAAACCTATCGAGATTACATGGCTCGGTCCCAATCATGCAACGTGCATACTACTGACACACGATTCAATCAATTGGACACAATTTAAACAAGATCTAAGCACAAATAACACTTCAGTACCATCTACATACTCATTCAGAAATCGGGCTAAACGCCCAATTGCTTGCAAGCGCTGGGCGACCTTGAGCGTCGCCCTTCTCGCTCCCAAAGGGCTGCTCACTGTGGCCCACATCCTTTCCGTCAAAGCTTCCCCTAATGTGTCCGAATTCGACACGTCGTTTCTGGCATACGACAAAAACAAGGGTCCGTGCCGGCAGTTTCTGGGCGCACCCACCGCGTCGGCATCTCCCTCTTTGGCCCAGACAGCGTGAAGGCCTGCGCCGAGCCCGGCACCACGAACTCCGCGTCGATGGCCACGCGGGTGCCTGGCGCCGGCATCTCGCTCCGCAGGTCCAGCGGCTTGAATTTGGGGTGCTGCGGCCGGTACCGCGGGCCCTGCAGCGGAGGCGACTTGCACAGGCGGAAGAAGTCCTCAGGGGAGAGGACGGGGGCGACCTCGGAAGGGGAGGAATCCTGCCAGGCCTGCAGGGCGGCCGTCTGGAGGGGCGCCAGCCCGGGCTTCAAGTCAGTGCCGCAGTGGGGATACCATGCATCTACTCTACATATGGTGCTGTACGACAACAGAAACAGAATACAGAATACATGCAGAATACATAATGGAATACATTTATTATGTTGTAGTACATTGTATGCACTCATCTAAGATATTGCTCTGGTGTATTATATATGATGTGCTATAGTCTGTTAGTCATTAAGAGGTCTTATCATCGTTGTAAACATACCAATGGCGTTCATAACTTGGAAAGGGATTGAATATCTGCCAAAGGGCACGCAACGCACCATAAATACATGCCCGCAATACCATTTTTACCAAATCTCGAAGTAAGAGTGCAAAATAACCCAATAAGACTTGTCGCCAAATCAGGACACTCATCGTTTACCGCATACTTTTGGTGGTCGACAATAATGATGCAACTGATGAAAGCAATTGGCACGGGAAGAAATGCCGAGCACTGGGATCTGTGCTGGCACTGATGTTCACCCAAATCGGTGCTGCTTCGCACAGCACGTCTGAAAGTGCACTGACGTGGGCACCCGTGCGGAACATCATGTTAAGGGCAGCGCCAACATTTGAAACTGGACGTGAGGGAAGTATCAGTGCTGCAGATTTTATGGGCTTGAACGTTTTAACCGCGCGGTGTTGCCGTGACAGAGCGAGAAAGCACCAGCCCAATTGGAGACGCCGGAATAATCGTGCCAACGACGCAGGCTGGTTTCCATTATGCTGCAGTGTGCTGTCTCAACATACGTCATCCCTCGCAGTATTGTCCAAGCCTGTCCAGCAAAGGGCGAAATGGCAAACACTGGGCTAAAGGACCGGAATCCCCATATGTTCCAAAGGAGCGCCGATAAAACCGCAACCGTTGCACAGCATTATTCGCCACACGAACGCCAATATGTACAGGAAGCTTACAGCTGACAGTGATCATGCCGCTCACAAATCTAGCTCAAAACCACTTTTGGACCACGCAATTTGAAAACCAAGAAATAGATTATCGACCTGCAATTGCTGCACTGGCATGCTGCACTCTCGTTGCAACTCTGCGGCGACATCTACCTGTGAGTAGAAGAGCAGGCACGGGATCTTCTGCCCGCCGAACACCTGCCGGACCTCGTCTGCAGACGTGGGAGTGACGCAGAAGTCGTTGAACAGCAGCCAGCGCTGGCCGTCGTCCGCATCCCCGCCATCCGAGGAGGTCATTGAGACGTCCTCGCCTGGCGATTCGTTGTTTGCACCACCACCTGCCGTCATGCATGCACAGCTCCTTCCGTCAATCAGCGAATCAGAAGAATTTGAAACCGAGGCAAAGGGACAGCCGTGAGCTGCCCGCTCAGCCTGAGAAGAACGGGGTTGTGTGGATAATACAGGCCCCAATAGCGCAACCTGACCGCGTTTTGGTGTTGGCAATGCTGTCCGCCCTGAATTGAATCATTCAGTGTCGGAGACAGAATCACTCCTTTGCAGACACGGTTTTGGTATCAGGCCTCACCAGAGCCGGCGAATTTGCGCTCCACACGAAAACTGGACACCCACCCAGTCCATCATTCGCTCCTGTCGTGTCCATGATGCCTAGAGCGTCATCCAAAGTGTCTGGAAGATTCACAACCGGGGATCTCTGCGCCTTTGGCGTCGGCCCTCCCCAACGGCCTTCCGGGATCCCGAAGGGGTTTTGCACCCTGTCGCCGACGCCCCGCCCTCCTGGGTCCCCGTCGGCAAAGTGCAAGCCCTGGCCTGGCTGCAAGTACGGCAAGGGCACCTGGTGGTGCAATGTACCAGCACACCGCTATGCATCAATAAAGTAAACAAGCTGCAACGTGTTCCGCATCGTATTGAGACACATATAGTAGAAAAATAAGTGATTGAACAATAGCTGAATAATGGCATGAACGCAACGCTGTGTGTCATTGATCCACGATGTAGTACATTGGTTTCCAGACAGGCAACGCGGTCGCATTGGTGAACGAACAAACCAATTTAGACAGACTGATAACCTGCCACTGACGTCATGCCCAAGCGCTACAGCAGCGGAAGTTCTGAAGCGTTCAACGCTTGCACGGAAGAATGCGGGATGGGGAACGGAACGTTTGCCCTGCACCTTCACGTGGGCAATCATGTGGCCGCCAGAGTCGTACAGCGGGTGCGGCCCTCCATCGTGCACATGAGCCACAATGCCAGTCAGCTCGTAGACTGCGCACCGAGGCGAAGGGCTGGCATCGCCACCGCGCACATTGGGCCTGCGAGTCCGCATGAACGCGCGAGGGAGGCGTCAGTCAGCACTGAAGGCACCATCCAAAATACCCTATCAAGACATGGTGCCCACCAAAACTATTGCCAAAAATATGGTGTTATCAGGACAATAACCTCAGTAGACCTGGCTGAACGAAACAACAAAGAACGGCTCTCCATCCAACAAGCCACAGTGTTCCCAGCGAACGCTTCCACAGTTCTTCAGGAGTGAATTGTTGGGATCACAATGGTCGCAAATGGCAATGTGTCATTCACATGCATTGGGCGCAAGAGTGTCCTTTCAAAAAAAGCTTTTGTGCCCAATGCGGCGATGACCAGTGCACAACGTTTTTTGTACACGACTTGTCAAAAGTACAAAATTATTATCTTAATACCAATGGGCTGCGCAGCTAGCTTGCACATTTCCTCAGTTCAAACGCAGTCTTACGAAAACAAGCGGGGTCCTTGCACCTCCCAGGTGTTGGCGTGCATGTACACATATACGGCGTTTCGCAAACGATGCAGTAGCGACAACCAACAGCTACACAACAGCACATAACAACACACAACATCAGAATGCAACAAACAATGCGATTCTCCTTGCAGTCATTCGTTCCTCACCTTCCTGTGTCATCTTGGCCCGAAGGGGCGGCCCCGTTGCTGCTGAAGACTTCAGCACTGTCAGACTGTCGGACACTGACCTCGCCAGTTGGGGGATCTCTGGCGATCTCCACGTACCAGGGTATCCAGCTAGCGCCTCTGGAGTCGGTGGCCTCCAGCCTCCACCACTGGGGGTCGCCAGGATCGTTGGCGTTGCAGCTTATGACCATCACCTGCACGCAGCGACTTTCAATTCACTGCAAACCACGTTGTTGGCAGAACGCAAAAACACGACGTGCTGCAAAATGCACTGCACGGAACGATGTCGAAATCGCCGCAGTGTGCCCTTTGGGAAGTAGAAAGCCATCGAAGTGGCCAGAGTTTGTTGGGAAATGCAATGACCACACCGTATATTGAATATACGGTGAATTGGATATTGCCTGAATTTCAGGGAGTGTCCGATTCGCTGTAACGGCATTTTTGATGCAGTGGAAAACAGCAACAATAGGAACAGTGAAATCTAAGGGCTCGCAAACTGTCCATACGGCGCATTTCTGAGCTATGGGTGAGTTATTGATCGTCTACGTGTGTCGATACACACAAAACACTACACTTGCACTTGTAAGGTGATGTTGGACATGAGTCTACACACAAATTGCTCAGAATGTGACCTGCACAATGTCAAAGTTTGCAACTACATCGATTTGCCAATCACTGTTTCTCCTAGCATTCTAGGCCTTACACAGACAGCAAGTTCTTCATTCTTGCAGACACCTGTTCAGAGCGGGGCACAACACGAGCGGCCTGCAAGACAACGTGGGGACACAGGTGTCGCTCACCAAGCCAACCACCCATGATGCTGCACCTCCATTGGCTCACTCATTCCCCAAAGATCCACAGGCCTTTGCATATTGCACAGGATCGTGGACACAATCCAACCCCCAGGAGTTTTTCAGACGTGTTGTGGATACCTGGGGAAAAGATGTTGGAGTTCTTGTCTGCCTGACTTTCTGGTCGCCTCGTTCCTCATTGAACCAGGCTCGCAGCACCACCTCGCTCCGCAGGGACTGCTGCAAGATGTCGCAAAACCGAGGGTCTGGCGTGGCCTCCGCGGGTGGGTACTGGAGCTCAACCTGCGGCGGCAGGGACACAAAAATGGTGGGAGGGGTTGCTGCGACAGGGGATAGCCAGCCATGCAACAGCGGCCAAAGTGGGCCACTTTTTTGGCTCACACTATCACGAGCTTAGATTGTGTCGACTTGCTCAATCGTGTACCAGAAAGCGGCCATGCCTTGGATCAAAATGCAAATCACAGGATTCACACCTGTGTACCCGCACAGCCCAAGGCATATGTTGGAGTCTCATGGGTAAGAAGAGGCTCAGTTTCTAGCAGTTTCATGTGGCCGCTTATTAACAACGGGGAGGAGCAACATCGACACGTGACGTACAATTCGTGACCATTTCTTGACAATGGGGTATGCACCATTATTGTTCGCAAGGTTCAAGGGGTTCGCCTCTTTCTTACGGAGATCAGCACAAGGAATGAGTCAGGAAGGTTGAGGACAAATGTGCTGGTGCTTTTGAGCAAGCTCGGAAAGCTAAAGAAACTTCAAAATTTCCAAGACGAACTCTAAGTCTCAAGATGGAAAGACACACGGAACTTTTCGGTTGTTGGCGTGCCCCTGACTGCGCTCACAGGGTTGGTTTGCCAAACGCCAGACTGCAACAAAGGATTCTTCAAGGGAGGAACGAATTCATGAATGAGGTGTGGTGTTTCCTGCCAGTCAGTGGAATGACACATGTGTGGCCCTGGACGTAGCCATGGTACATTCTGATGGTCATTATTGCGGGCATAGCATGGGCACCGCCATGCGCATTTTGTCATAACACCATATGTAGGAAATCTTGCAGTTCTTTCCTACAAGTTCTGTCATATGGACGGCTCATTTCACATCACAACGATGTGCTGGCAAATGCACCTGGAAGGAGGTGATTTCCTGTTCCCTGTGGGCGTCGCCTCCAGACAGACACTGCGTGTGCACCCTTGTGGTCACGCCGAACAACTTGGCTATCGGGCTTGGACCTTCCGCAGTGTGCTCGTGGCGCCACTCCCTTCAAGAATACCACAATCGTTTGATGGTAAGCCACCATCGACATTTACCCAGTCGTTCGTGCTAGTGTTCTGGCATTCCAATACACAAATGCAGTACACCAAACTTGTGATAAACAAAATTCAGTAAGCAGCGTTCTTCTGCAGTCCGGAACAGCACAATTCCAGGACACGGTATATTCCAGCATGTCCCCGACGGATGGCTTGTTTTCAGAGACTGGTTACTGTCTGCAGGCTGCTCAGAATTTGCCATAGCACGCTGCTGCCAAGCTCACAGCCAATGACATGCCACGTGGCGGAACATCAAAGGGTGGAAGAATGGATCAATGTACTGTGACTTTGTGACCAATGGCAATCCTGAAATCAGCAGTGGGCCCTCGAGTGCTCATCAAACAGAACAATGCAAAAAGAAGAAAACGAAGCATATATTGTATCCTCACAGTGTGGCGTACCACACTCGTCGTGTTGCACAGCTCGCCCACAGATATTTCTATTGCAAAGTGTATGCTCCATGACGTATGCTAACCAAGCCCCCCTGACCGAGTCGTCAGGGCGTTTGACAAGCAGGCTGTGTGGTTCCATTACTTTTTATGGGGACTTGCATGCATTGCTAGCTCTGATTCACACTGGGCTTTTTTTGACAAGGACTGCAAGTTTGTTGACTGCCAGCAAATTAGTTGTGCTTGATTATCTGAACCCATTAGAGATGCATCCCATGGCCAGCGCATTGATTCAAGCCACCCCATCCGCACGACAAGGAAATCAAGGAGGAACGAGAGACAATGACAGAAAGGATGAACAATAAGGGCATCAACTACCACATGAAAACGACTGGCTGGAATGGCATGCGACTCTCATTACATCTGAACACCAGGCAACAGCAGCACTGCCAGTGTTTTGGAGTAGTTGGCCAAAAGAAACCTGGAGCACCTTGACATACAAGCACATGTCGCCGGGGCAGCAAACAGCCCACGGATGACCCAACGAACCAAAGGAAAAATGAACCGAAGAATGTGTCACAACCCCACCTATCAAGTCGTTCCAGCAGGAATTGGCACAGCCTGGGTATCCTCTGAGGCAGGGTCTGCTCCCTCTGGGCCAGGCCCCTCATCTCAGCACGGCTGGGGCTGCTGACATCTAGAAGCCCCAGGGCCACTGCCTCACGGGTGTGGTGCAATGCGCGAAGCAGGTTGCTGGCCTGGCAACGGTAGGAAAATGGATTCAACGGAAATTCGATGATGATGCAAAGATGGATGGGTGAAAACTTTGATTCAGTATGCGTTTGGGAATGCACTATGTCGATTTTGTTATGATCGGCTTCAAATTCATGCTAAGCCAGCAAAAGCCAGCATTGCAGGAGTTGTAAAGGGTTGAACTACGTAGATTTGTAGCCATGGCAGGTGATGGACACCATCAAATTGAAAACCTGGATACCTTGAAGATTGAATGCCTGAGGGAGGTTCGTCAACAAGTTATGATGTCTCATATCTGATCAGCAGCGGTTTGGGCTTCTTGTTAGCCTGTGTCAGTCTTGTTACCAGAGCCACAGGTCACAGTCCGCCCCCCCCCCCCTGTTCGCCCCTTTGTCAATTTGAAGTTAAGCATAACAAAATCGACACAGTGCATTCCCTTTCAGCAACGTGAGAAACGACATGCTGGTTGCCATTTTTGGGCTCACTTTCTTGACATGCCGTTATCTTGGGGCCTTTGCATAATGGCAACAGCCGGATTGGCGACTCTGTTGAGTTCGCATGGCCTCAAAAGCTGGTATCCACAACAGCGCCTCGTGCATCTGGGGCTGCTCCACACTTTCTTGCCACCGTACATTTTTATTACTGCTCCGCATGAAAAGGCCAAACGTTGTGTTACGGTGTGGATGTGTATGATACATTAGAGTAGCAATGACTACCAGCATTTCGTGATGGTGCGCTCACCAGGCATGGTACGGGAGCATCTGTGGCCAGCATCCGAAACAGGAATGACAGCTCGTCCAACAGGCAGATCTCCAAGTCAGGGTTCTGCCGCCACTGAAGTACTGCATTTCGAAGACCAGGCACGAAGTACAGCACCTGATGGTCCCACCACAGGCACACAATATGGGTGGTTTCAGATGGAGTCGTACTGGAGCTTAGTAAGCTGCACACAGAGATATGCAACGAAATAACCCTAAAAACACATGCAAAATATGCACAATATGTGTGATACATGCGTTTGCATGAAGGTCGTAGCAGCCTCGGCGTAATTTGATGGATGTGGCCACCTGCATTGCCAACGAGCATGGCGCATGGCCAGCCTGCTTCAGCCGAATTGTGTATTAATAGTTTTTCATCAATGATAATACAATTGCAAAACAATTGTGATACCGTCTATCCATGGCGCACCAATTCATGTCACGCTGTGCATTAAGGCCACATTTTGCGCCAACAAATGGCATTATAATACAATGCACAGGCAAAGAGGATTGGCAACTACATACACCTGCAGCAACGCATTGCAGTAGCAGCTGGACACTCCGTTCTCCAGCCCCGAGAATTTGGTCGTGTTGTATGGCCCGAAGTCGAACTCCTCGAACTTGGCGATGCCCTGGCGCCGCATCTCCACCCTCGCATACATGCGCGGCAGGATGGCCTCCGTGTGCCCAAACCCGTTCACGCCTTCCTCTTCAGAGGCGCTGTACTGCCGCTGGACGCGCTGGTTGCGAAGAGGCGCCACTCGCAAGGTGGCCTCCCCTGGGGCCAGGCCTTCCTGGTACTCGGGGTTTGGAACATACCCTATGAAATCTTCCTAGGCCACCATTCGCATCGTCAGGGAAGGTTGGCATCTTTGCTTGATTTCAAATTGGGATGCCGTCACTGCCTTACAGTTGGGACGACTGGCTTGTCTTCAGACACAAGCAGGTTGGCCTGGGGGTCCTTGCAGTGGCCATTTTGGGTAGTTGGCAGCTGAGTTCAAATAGAGTGTTTGATATTTTGTTCATGGAGTAGATCATTAAATTTCTGAGCTTAGAGCTGTGAGCTGCATTGTTGGACATCGTGTGCTAAGAGTTTGAACAAGGCGAACATGGAGTAATCGAGTAACCTTGGCAGTGTTTCAGTACCATTTTACAACAGTTTTTCGACCCATTTTCAATTCATTGTAGATATGTGGGCTTTGCACATCCCTTTGTAAATAAATGGGTTCAAAACTAGGTGCGCTTTCTTCTTGTTTCCTGCTCTACAACGTGTGCTGAATACAATAAATTTTGTCGACATGATAAAAATTAAATGATGTAGATTTTAGGTTTTGTGGCTCATGCCGCCATGCAGATGTCCAAAATATCCCAACTGAAATTTCACTAGCCCTGGTGTGTCAGCACCACAGCGTAGCAAAGTGTGGGGATGGTGTGATTGGTGTGGGAGCTTGCAGCATTTGAATCAGCCCACATTCCCAGCGAGTTGGCATTGAGCAATAGGAAGGCCTCCTATTCTGTTTCACTTCATTATATTATATTCTGATGTAGTTTTCCATTCGCTATATGTGTTGGCTTTAACACATATTCCATACGTTGAACAAATAGAATGCAATAAGCAAGAACAAAACATATTATATATGGAGTGAATATAGACTATGTATGAAGTTAAAGAGAATAAGTGAAACATAGTAAATAACAAACGACAATTGGTTGTTAGCTACATGGAGATCGACTGTTATCCCAGGGTCACTATTGTCTTCGCCTTATTCGTGAATAGTACAATTTTCTTCACTTCCTCGGGATTGGGAAACAGAATGGCAGAAAGGAACAACAAAACATTACATAACTAAACAGCCCAAAACAATAAACAATAAAACTACTCAATACTACGCGCTTGCCATTGGCAAATTCACATTGCAAGGGCTCTCAAAGCCTTTGGCAAATTGCCTTGCCATGAGCAGCAATGGCAATCCCACAGGCTATCGTGGCCATGTGCGCCGGCAGCCTCACGCAATCTAGCACTATATTGCGAGGCAGCCAGCACCCAGGTTAGCAGAGGGGACTTAGAATTTTTGTACTACAATGGATTTGGAAGATAACTTTTTGGGCATGGCTTGAAACATTGCAATCCCAAACAGTGTAAAGCCAAAGAACTCAAAAAACACAATGCTGAGTTCCACCTGCTTCATCTCATTCAAGATGGAAACGTCGACCGTCCTTGGTGGCAGTCCCACGTCGATGGGGGTGGCTGTGTCCCAATCAGACAGCAGGGTTCCTGCACATGAGTATCGAGGTGCCTTCATAAGCGCGTCGTCCTGGGACAGGGGCACCGTGGGCTGGCTTCTCGGCGGGTGCCTCGCATGCTGTGCAGACATCAGGTTCACAGCGTTGCCCCCCTGATCCGTTCCCGACCATAGGTGGACCATGCCGCCATTGTCCCCAAGGGCTATGAAGTCACCAGAAGAGGAAATAGAGCAAGCCAACAGCTGGCGGCCTGCAGTGGCGACCTGCACGGGGGAGAGAGCAATTGATCGATTCGCACGATAGATGTGAGGAAGCACAAGACAACGTGATGAGTAAATATTGACGTAGTGCCTGATGATGCAGAAGAGCGGACAATATGAAATGACAAAACACACCCTGCGAGCAAGAAATTGTAAAGTGCTGAACCAGTTCTCTCCCCAATGAGGAATGATCCGTACCTGGAATGCATGGGGGGCGGCATCAGACTGCACATCGGCAATTGTGAGCACACCTGAAGCCGATCCAACGATGAGGGTGCCTGAGAACTTTGGATGGAAGGCGAGCAAAGAGGGGCCGGCGGGAAAGGGCATGTGGTACAGGGCACTGGCAAAGGAGCGCACATCAAATACCTGGCAAGCCACGCACAAAGAGGCTGTGAGAGTGCAAAGGGTGCAGGACAGCCACAAGGTGTAATATACCAGGAACAAATGAGAACATGACAAGAACTGACGTGAGAACATGACAAGAATGAAAAGAGGGTCGATGCTGATCTGGCTTCCCACCACCACAGAGAACAAGAGGTTGACGAAATTTACTGGTTGACAAAGTTGTACCACAGAACTACTCCTATTGAAAAAGTGTCAGGCCGGGGAATCGCAATTTCAGATCATCGGGGTTAGTTTTCCGACCTAGATATGTCGAGGATTAGATTTTCTATAAAGGGCAGAGTCACCCACGGTTGGACTAATGGCAAGTGCTTGCAGAACTGAAAATTAGGCATCAACACCAAATTTTGGCTCTCTTCAAGTGGGGCGCAACGGATGGTAGGAAACAAGCCCTGCTGGAGAATTATGGGTCTGTGCTGCAACGCTCTGCTCTGCAGCATGCACCAAATGTCGCTACAAATATTCTATCAACATGGGCAATGGCCAACAACATGGGGCAGAAACCATTCGTGGCTGTCAGCTCCAGTGGCATCAAATCCCCTTGACTACAATTACCACATGTTCTACAGATGGTGCACAGAGGTCTGCCAGCGACAGAGGCCCATTGGCACAATAGGAATTCGGCTCATTCCATGATCAAAATTGATACACATTGGCAAATGCGTGGCGCGCTTCAGTGTGGAGCAAAGAGACTGCTGAAAAAACGAGCAATGGAATTCGGAGCAACAATAATGGACAAAATCCGATCATCAGTACAGCACTGGAATGGAAACGAGTGGGAAGGGCAGGTCAACCTTCACAACAGTGTCAGGCACCAGGCGGTTGTTGAACAATTCGTAGCCACAGGTTGCAAGCAGCTGGTGTTTGGATGCCAAAGATATGACTCCACCAGCATGCGCCATTACTCTTCGATCGGCCTGTGAACAAGCCACTGTTAGCATGACAAAAACCGAATTCTTAGCACATACGGTCGCTCCTAGGCATGGGAAGCCAAGCTGTAACCAGATGCATTACAGGACAAGCACGCCAACCAACAACACTGCCAGTATTCTCAGTTATTAGTCACTGTATCTCCATACTCATTTCGCCACATTCAACACAATGTTCACCATGTCTAGCGAACCCATATTAGCACCATTCTTTATAACGAATCGCTTGTGTTTTTTCCCTTGCCCTCACAGTTAGTGTCCGCGGAAGTGGGACTGCAAGCTGTGCAAACAAGCTGGAATCGCATTCAGCATTCCCTTCTGCAGGACATCAGGCACAGGAGGGCTTGGGCTCTTTGTGTTTACTGGATTAGTAGAAGCTATTCAATTGTCCTGGGATGAAGAGCAGAGCTGATGTGCTTGTTGGGAGGTGTCGCTGTGATGAGGGCATCTTCACCAGACAATGAACATTTCTATGCTTCCTTTTGTCACCATCGGAGGTGGTCTTCGATGGCTAGAAGTGAGCCACCATCGCAGAGGTATTAGGCATCTGCCATCGACAAATCTGGGGCAAGGGCTTCGTGTTCATGTGAAATGGAAACCACAACAACTCCATTTGCACCACTTGAAAACACACAGACACTGCACCTTGAACATGTTATAGCACCATAAAATCGCTCGAGTAACATGGATGTGGAAATTGTGCGATTGATTGATTGCTTTGATGCTGACACATTGTTGCCGACATCCAGTGATTGGGGATATTCTGGCATGACTCACCTTCAGCCCTGCTCGTGGGTCAGCAAGGTACACCTTGCCTGCTGACTGGCCACAAGCCAGAAGTCCACATGAAAAGATGGTTTCAAGGACCTTCACGCTACCTTCCTCAAGGGGCACCTGTAGAGGTAGGTATCAGTTAGTGTTGTGAGCACATTACTTAATGTACATTATTGGTTGGCTCAGTGGTTTTCTATGTCCAACCCCAAACTAACCTACTGTGCCACACGATCACTTTGTAGCTTTCAACATGCAAAATGCCAAAATACATTGAGCTCACATGCATGGGGGTGTGCAGTGCCAGCAACGAACGGTGATACAATGCAGGACAGATGGGTTGGGATTGCACCACTTCAGCACATTGAAGTGCGCATTAAGATGAAGTTTGCCTTGCCAGGGAATTTAGAAGCCAGTGCTCTTGGAAGGCAACATCAGGCATTCCTGGAGCCGGATCGTCTGTTGCTCCTGATTGCCCATATTCCACTTGCCACCTGCCATTGTGTGAAGTAGTGCACACTGAATTTGGAACGCAACAATAGCACAATCTGACCTTGCAACAAACACTATTCTGTGCGCTGATTGCAACCTGTGCGGTACAGACTGCAATCTGTAGTACAGATTCTGTACTGCACTGCACTGTACTGTTCGGTACCGTCTCTTGCTTTTTGTCACGAACAGCCACTTGTGCCAATTTTGGCACAAAACGTTGTGGATGCACCCTAACTCACACTAAAGATGCAACTGCACTGTTCTATCACATGGTGAAAACTGTATTCAGAGCAGAATAGCAGCAAGGTGTGCAAACATGTGTCTGCTGTTGACTGGGGCAGCTACTATGAAGGACAAACTCCATGAATTCACATCCAACCCAATAGCGTCTGTCACAGAGAGAAGCATGCTCAGATGTACATCAGATACAAAGAGCACAGCCCTCTAACTGGGTGTCAATTCTTCACACTATGTGCCAGGGGCCACGTCACGGATCTTGACAAAAGCACACCTGCAGGATCTTCTGCAATCTATTGGTGTTAAGCAGATTCTGTGGATGTATGGCCCGGAACCCAAAGGGCTGCCCTGCAGCTGCACCGATTCGACTGATGCAAACATTGTAAAGAAGTGTTCCAGCATGCTGCACTTGTCCTGCTGATGCACACTGATTATGCAATCAGCAGCACATGACTGCACTTTTTATTGCCCCACAGGGTACTTGTGGAATATTGCTTAAGTACTGCCCTTGCACATGTTGCATGCGTGGTCCACAGCCAACCTGAAATGCACACTGACCTTTTCCAGGAACTGAGATGTTTCTAGGTCAAATGTTGTCAAGTAGCCTGAAGCACGGCCAAAGAGCACACGGCTGGAGTGCAGGTTCGCATCGTCAGGGTAGAGGGCACAACTCAGGAGGTCCCCTCCCTGTGTGGCGCAGTAACATGTGCATCTTTGAAATTTGCCCAGCACGTGGATGCCCGCTGTGCGGCGTTGTTCCATTTGGTTGCAACTAAACCTCCGCTTGAATTAAAAGAACAATTGAAACAATTCACAGGGAGGAACACAGTGATCAAGTCACGAGTCGCAGATTTATATTGTTCTCCATACCTGAGAATTTAATCAGGATCCTGCATGGAGACATCTGGGTAACCAATTTGCATCATTGCTGCAAACACTTTGTGGCTGACAACTACCAAACGTCAAATTGCCTCTGCATAGAATATCTCTCAGGCAGTGCACTGCAGAATGAACATTAGTAGATGTCATGGCCTGGCACCCATTTAACAAAAATCTGGGTTCAAATTACCTTCACATATCCTTCCACAAAGATGTGTCAGGACAGGCAATCAATCCTCAAAACGAAACTTTAAGAGCTTTTTGACCAGCCAAAAGTCAGATTGCGACCATTCAACATTTCTGTTTCAAGTGGAGGCATCCTTTGCACTTGCTCACTTGTGTGTCCCGGAATGTGAATCTTGAGTTCCCCCCTTGAGCGTGCAGCCTGACAGTGTCACAAGATATGGACAGACCCCCTCCTTGGGCAATGGTGATGTCCTCCACCGCGTGTCTGTGACCCTTCACCCTTGAGTAGCTTTGCAAAGTTGGGCATTCACATACACACAGACTGCCGCTCTTTGTCCCTGCTCGCCCGCATGAACCACATTGCTGAGAGATAGCCGTAGGTTAGGTTAGGTTACACTACTCAAAACATGACATGTAGCTGCACAGGCACCCATGATGAATGAGGGGGAGGAAATTTTTCTTGGATGTGTGCACCCTCGTCATCGCATACAAGATGCTGGGGCACCACTTGTTCTTTCAAAACCAATTTAAGCAATGGATTGAGCCACCCATGCACCCGTTGGGAGATGCCAATGCTTGCCAGTCAAAAAAATCAGTATTGGGATGTCCCGGCGTACTCTTGCGAAGAAACTCATATGCATTTCCATTTCTGGAGACAGTTTCGGAGACATGTCTGGGTGACAACAGTGAGCACAATGTACACTGGTGTGTGGCAGGTCATTGTTGTGTGGGCAGTGGACATACATTCTGAGGATGTCAGAAACACATTATGCAAGGCATTTTCACCACGTGTGAATACCAGGACGCAGGAGACACAATCAGTGAATAGAATGCAGCTGTTGTTCAGATTAAATGCTTGTGAAGTTGCTCCACTTCAGTTGTCAGCCCTCACAGAAGTGTTACAAATCCAGAAGATGAGTCAACAGGGATTCATCAGGAAACATTAGGGAAACAATTTCGATTGTGTAAAACACAGTTCACACGCTGATCTCAAATCGATGGGCACATTTAAGAAGTGCCACAAAGGTTCCATTGCTCCAATTTCGACAACGCTAGTGGATGCCAAGGTGGTCCCGGCGATGAGGTCATGAACACTCGGCACCAACTGTGACGCAAGGTCATTATCATCACACAATACTTGCCTGTCCATAGTAGCTCGAAATGGTCATCAAAGCGAACTTTCGTTACCTGTTCGTAACATAAGACAGCCGGTATCAGATAGGGCAACACTGGATTCACTCAAAAGATGGTTTTCTAAGATTTGTGCACCCAATTGGACATTCATTTGCGCCAGACAGAGTCATTACACTGTCTGATGTTGAGTGAATGAATTCATTTCAACAACATTGTGTGGATATGTGCCTGTAATGGCAATCCACTTTGTGGGTGCAAAGGCTGAGCTTTGTCCTGTTATGACAAATGCAGTCAAGAATTTGATGACGATTACAACAATGTAGAAAACGACACAGTGGCGGTGGTACGTGTCATCGCTGATTTCAGAACATCGAGCGGCAGAAATTTTATGGGATTCTAAAGGATCTCTCTATGCGTGCCAAAACGACAACACTCGGCAACAGCGCTCACACTTTCAGGTGTGCACTCTCCGTGCTGATTAAGAACAGCAGAAACAAACAGTAGAAGCATTCCAGCTCGGAATTCTGCGTGAAGCAGTTCGTTTCATTCTCATCCACCCGCCAAGGCGTGCCTGCAGTCCCATGCCGCTCAACGAAATCCACCCCACTTCTAAAACATCCCCACGATTTTCTGCGACGAATATCGCCATTCATACACCATCACCCACATAAACACCGCGCGGCCACCATGCAGTTTCGACGCCCAATTTTCGAACAGCGCATCGGATTCATCCACCGCCCTGCCCCCGAGCCATCGAGGTCCTTCTGACAGACTTGAGAACAAACATCCCCAAAGCCATGGATTGAATCATTCCCGTCGTCGCCTTGCAGGCACATGGGCAGCGCTTCGCACGCTCTACCAGCCGCAATCAAGCCAACTGTCTCTTCGGCCGCGCAACGTCGATTCATCAGAGGAACAGAACGACCCTTTGCCCCACCACTTCCGCAGATCGAGGCTGCACGGGCGCCACGGCCACCTCCGACAGCATCGCTCCGCCCCTGGCCCCACCCGCCTCGCGAGGCGGCTGGCCGGAGCGCCGGTGGCCCGCGGGGACGCGCGCCCGCGACTGGGCGCCGGGCTGGCGGCCCGCAAAGACCCACCCTTGAGGTTTCTGGGGTCGCCTCCCGGCGTGCTGACGTGGCACTGCGCTCAGTGCTGAAACGCAAAGAACGCTTAGAAACACCAAAACATTCTCCTAAGGTTGCTTCGTTGTTTTGTTGTTTCTGTTTTCTTTTTTTGGATTCCAGAATATTGCATCACGTTTCAGTGTCCAGGTGCAGCCCCCGTCCCATCACAAGACACGTGGGCGTTGCGCCACGTAGCATGAGAGTGCAAGGCGATGTAAAGCCCCCAAGGTGTCTTGTTACAATGGTTGTTCATAATAGCCCCCACACGCTTGTGCCAGATTTTGTGAGCCTCCAGCAGAACCTCTGGACTTGGCAGGAGTATCCTATCGGCTTTTGGACGACACCGTTTGTCTCTTGGGTGGTTAGCATGTACCACACCCCGAAAATCAAGGCTGCATCATCAACGCATTTGCATCTGGACAGCATCCGCTCGCCTCCAGCTGCGGAAGGCGTGTGATGAGCTGCTTGAAGCACGTTGAAAAATGCCAACACGCCTGTGCTTGTTTGTTTCCTCTTTCCTGGTCCACTCATTGTGATGCATTTGCCAGAAAAATGCATGGCGAACAAAACTATGCTACCTCGAAGACGTTGATACATCGGTGCTTCTTCGCAACCGCGGGCCAAAACAGACAACAAATAGTGACAACAAACAAAACAACGCACAACATCTCTGGAAGCAGTAAACACAGTTAGGCGTTTTGACAATCCGCAAGGAAGCAAATGGGCGCGTATATTCAGGACCACATGCCTAAGTAAAAGCCAGCCACATGGATCCGTTCCAGGGCAACCTCACCCGCCCATTTACTGACGAAGGTGGGCAGGGTCGAAGCGTGGCGGCCCCTGACAGGGTGCCGCAGGCTCGAATACACGGCAACTATTCACACCGGGGAGGAAAGGGATAACAGCAATTCTGTCCCTTAAATCCAGTCCGTTCATCAATGTCCTTAATGCAATTCCTAGTGCAACATCACCTATTTATGCGTCCGGCTGTCCATGATACTCAATCAGTTCCAATTATAGTAGGGGTCCCAATATAGCGCACTCCCAATAGCGCCCTTGGCCCCCAATATATAGTGCCACCTTTTTTGGCTTGGCAGCATTTCTGCAGTACTTTGTGCAACTTTGTACGTATTAGTTTACATTCTTTACGTATGCCAAAAGTCCTGCTTGGGCAACAAACCATGTTCAATTTCGTTTGTTGAATGCGCTATTGCACGGACGCAATCAGCGAGTGTAGTCCACGTGTGGGAAACAAGTAACATGTTTGTCCTTCGCAGGCTTGCAGAGAGGATGGGCGGCTGGGATGCTGCCTTATCTTGTCCGTACCTCCGGCTGGTTTTGTACATCGATGTCTTAATCGCGATCCTCGACAAGCACCAGCAGAAAACAGCCGCTTTTATGCCATCGCAATCACTATGACGGCAGCATTTTGTGTCAAATGGCATCGCAGTTCGCATTGCCAGCATGCCATTTTCTCCCAGTGAAGATTCGGAGGAATGAAGGGCGTGCAACTGAGAATTCAGAGATGGTTTTTGATACCACGTCCAGGGGGGCTGCAAGACGTGATGCACCATGTGGCGGGACGGTGCCTCTCGTCCTTTCTTTTCGCAGACGTGTTGCGGTGCAGTATATATGTGTTGTCTCGGCGACGAAGCCTCGTTTATTTGATTATATCAGAGAGCAAATTTTGGGATTCTTTAGCTGCATAACTCCTTGTTAAATGGCAGCACAGCCAGGACTGAGCTCACAAAATGTCGCATGGCATGATGTACCATCTGTCAGGGTTGTTTCTGGTGTTGCATTTGATTAGCATCCAACTTACGGGGAACAATTGTCCATTCCTCTGGTTAAGTGGTGTCCATTTTCTGCCATGCAACAATAAGTGCTGCGTTGGGCCATGCTAAGTGCCTACAGCGCATCAATGCAACGCGTTCCACCTTTTCTGCAGGTTCCGGGCGAAAGATGTTCGGCTATTTGGGCTCCAAAATCTGCATGTGTCTGTGTGCAAGTGTCCTGTCCGATTCATGGACACGATCGCCAGCGCTTTCATGCGCCCATATGTGATGTTTATGGCAGCTCATTCGAGCTCACTCTTTCTCAATAATGCGTTGCAGTTGTTCACAACTCTTAACACCAAATTTGCGTCTAATGGGGAGGTATTTTAGCCCCAAGGAGACGAGAAAAAGTGATCAAGGGCACTTGGGAGTGCTCTGATGCATCCCTGAAGTCGAAGTAAAGCCAATGTCTTGGCTCCTGAGCTGATACAGAGCCTGCCTTCTGACAATCAGATGCGGTATTTTCTGCAAGTTCCCACTCTAGAATAAAAAATTTGCTGGAAATATGCCCACTATCGCTTTGCCGACGTGAGGGCAACGATTTGCACCCATTGGTGATGAATGTCAAATGCATTGTCGCGGACTGGAACATCAGGTTTGTGTAGGGATGGTGGGCAAGGCCCCGCCAGGCCGAGTCTCTGGGTTTTGTAGGACAGAAACTTGGGAGGAACGAAAGATCAACATCCATCAATGATTATCCGAAGCCCCGCTTTTTTGCATGGGGCACTGTCTACGATCCTTAACTACCATGTTGGCAGGGTTGGGATTGACAACGAGGCAGTGGCTCGGAAGTTAGAGCCGTCCTGAATGCAAGCGTGCTAGAGCCGACGCTAGCGCGGCGCTGCTCCTCTTAGTGTTTACAATCGATGTTGTGGTGTCACTGGAGCAGTGAGTTCTTTTGCCCCACCGGAGTATATTCCCGCTTGCTTTCCAGCCCCTTACGGGGGCGAAAGCTTTCGCCACAGGCCAATGAATCCGCAACGTACATAAGTGGGGCAATGTGCCATGCATGCAGCCTCATAATCCATGACAATACGTATTGATGCGTATGCACCGAAAACCCGACAAGGGCATACGCCAGGCCTGCTGACGGTGGGCCGCAAGGACCGCGAGAGCGTGGGCCTAGTGCACAGGCACACGGCCACCCATCAGTGCATGAAAAGAGGGCTAACCTCGGTCCATCTGAAAGGAGCAGGCCTTTCAAAAGGGTGCTACCCGTTGGCCACTAACATTTAGCCAGCCAGAGCTTCCTCAGTTCGAACGCAATGCCCAGCCAACGATGGGCGATGCCGGTTGAGCGAAAGTCCGACGAGTGAGCCACTTGACATTTTATAGATTGCTGACGATGAACAACCTCTTGGAATGTTAAGATTCGAAATTGAGTGTCCATGATCATGAACGTATTCATGAATACGTACTTTGCTGCTGCCAGACAACTCGTGAATGATGTTGGGCTGAGCTTCCCTCCAACCGCTGGAGTGCTGAGTGGCTTATTCGATTCTGACACACACCCTGGGACAGAAGGAAGTGGCTCCGCACAGGACACTGCAGCACCGAGGACGGGAAGTGCAGTAAGTCCAGGGTGGGCGGGGGGGGAGAAGCCATGCTCTCACAGCAGCGGTTGGTCCCCGCTTGCGCGACGTGCTGCGCTTGCTCCACGCTGCTCAGCGACCTGCCCCAGGCGCGCCGTGCCACGTTCTGCGGCAGCTCGTAGCGGCTGTGCCGCACCGCGTCCCCTAATGATGCCCGCATTCGACTGAGTCATCTCGACAGCGCGGCCACATCATTCAAAGTAAGAATTTGCAGAGAAGTCAAGTATGCACTAAGGTACGTAATGCCAGCTTCCTCACGTTCCATGCCGCGGAGTTGGTTGCGAGGCCATGCGTTAGAGTCCACGACGTCCGCAATGACCGTGACAAGACGACCACGGCTGTCAACGCGGGGGAGTGAGGCGGTCAGAAGGCAGCGAGTGCCGGGCAGGGGATAAGGGGATAAGGGCAAAGACGTCTGTGGCTGCCGCGATATCTCTATCTGTTGGTCCAGGCTGCAAGGGGCACAAACGCGTGCTCGACTTGCGACCAGCGCGCTGAGGCGACCCATTGATCAGCGCCTTGGCCACGACCGGCACCACAGCTCAGGGGATTGCCAAGCCATGGAGGCGCCCGCTTTCAGGCTGCTGGTCGCGGCGGCCCTGTTGCTCGCCTTCGTCGCGGGCCTCGTGAACAGATGGCGGCGGAGATCCAAGTACGACCTTCACCGCATTCCCGGCCCGCCGGCATACCCGATCGTCGGCAACATGCCGCAGATGCTGCAGTGGGAGAAGCCGCAGATGCATCTGATGCTGCTGGAGTGGGTGGAAAAGTACGGGAAGGTTGTGAAGGTGTGTGCGAAGTTTTCAGTGGTGTCGCCAAAGGGAGGGACAAGGCGTTTGTGGCAATCACGCCATCGGCCCCCTGCAGGGTACGCCCGACTGCATCCGCGTCTGCTTCAAGCGCAGGAGGTTGCGCAACGCCGAAAGACTGAAGAGTTGTGTGTTTTGGCTACGAGTTTCCAAAAGTTTGCTCAGCGAGAGTTGCACAAGCTTCAACAACGACGAACTTTCGGCGAACGCCGCGTGCCAAAGGGGCGAGTGCTCAACCGAGCCAGGCGTCAACGCCCCTTGTGGAACAAGATGGCATGTATGGCCATCTTGCGTCCCATCCAACCAAATTGTATTGAAATTGATTCGTGTGACGACAGGGCCGAACTCAGATTCATATACCCATAATTCCCTCGTCACAAAGAACCAAGTTTCCTTGTAGCGGAAAACAATGTGCTGATTTCAGTCATTGCACAGCAGCATATGCATGCAGTTAAATGTGCTCCAAGGATGCCGATCGCTGGGCTGGAGCTGCACCGAGCGGCCTTGCTGGTTAGCAAAGTTCCAAGGGTTTTATCTGGGGATGGGACCTCGTTCAGGTCTTCTTGTGGGGCCCATCCAGCAGAACGATTGGCACAGGCGCAGCAATCCTGACAAAAGGGGTGTGGGGTGTGGGAGGTGGACAACTGTCTTGTTGGAACCCCCCAGATGGGCTGCAACAAACTCTTTTTTTGGAGAACAGAGCCACTCTGGGCTTTTTTTGGGCGTCTTTTTAATTTGTGCTTCACAAATGAAGCACAAACGCTTCATTTGCTTCAAATGCAGGTTTAGCCGGTTCAATAGCCTGCTTCTTTATGTTGCGGTTCTTTGCGATACAGAGGAAATATGTTCTGTCTTGCGACAGCGTAGTGACAAATTTTGCTGGAAGTGGTGCTGCCTGGTAAAGGCACTGATGTATTCTGAAACAAATTTGACTCAGGGTAGCTGTTGTGTTGTTCCGGCACTTCTGCGTTGATATGCGACCGATTTTTGAACGAAATAACACATTTGTGGGTCAATGCAGGTTGAAGTTCCGGGCTTGAGAGGCTCGACTCATGTGCATGTTATCGATCCAGAGTTCATTCAGAACCATGTCACGGGCCATGGCACCCATGGCTTGCCCAAGTCGGATTTCTACAACCATTTTCAGAAGTTAAGTTTCAGCAGGCGTTGTGACAGGCAGGCTGTGTTGGCAAATATCACTGAAACTGAGAGTGTTCCTAAACATCATGAAGACCTCACTGAGGCTCCTAGGTACCTACAGTTGACAGTTGAAGCATTGCACAATGAATAGTGGGTTTCTTAGAACCTTGAGTATATGCACTGCACAGACCAAGTCAACAGTCAATGTTGACAGTGGAGTCAAATTCGTTGAGTGTGTGTGGATGAGGAGCATCTTGGATGAGATTCAGCTGTTGTAGCATCTGCTTACATAATGATGGCAAATATGGTGAAGCCAATACTGCATAGAAAGTCGTCCTTGTGTGGGTGAGAGGTACTGCCCTTGCCCCTTCCCAAAGAGACACATACCATTCGTTAAGCTGTGTTTGCTTGTTTCCTTTCACAGTTGGCTACGCCGGGAAAAGAAGGCTACTTCATTACTAATCTGACAGAAGACGAGTACTGGAAGGCAGTGAGAAAGGCGATGGGGAAAGCATTCAGTACAGCAGCCCTCAAGGCGCTAATGCCCAAACTTGCAAGAAAATCTGACCAACTCATTGATATCATCAAGAACATCCCTCCCAAACAACCAGTCGAATTTCAACGCCTGATGGTGCGTTTCGTGTTTGATGTTGTTGGGGTGGGTGGCTATGGCATTGACTTCAAGTCCCTTGAGAATGAGCAGCACCCTTGCTTGGAGGCTATACAGTATTGCATGCATGATGCACTAGCCAGCACTATGAACCCTTTTCGTCGCTTGGTGAAGTGGGCATTCCCAATGTGTAAGCTTGCCCGAGAATGCAACAGCATGTACTCACAGATGTACAGCTTCTATGACATGATCGCGAACGAGATAAGAGAAAGGGGAGAGCCTGCAGAAGATGACTTGTCCATGTCAGCTTGCTTGATGCGGATAAAAGACCCGAATGTGGGGGGACCCCTGAACGATGCACTCCTGTCATCTGAAGTTGGGGGTTTCATGATTGCGGCCACCGATACTACCAGTCACTCAATAGCATGGGCCCTGTTTGCCATCGCCTCCCACCCCAAAGTTCAGCAAAAGATCGTGGATGAGCTGAAGACCAGCGGACTGCTTCATCGGATCAAAGAAGGGGCCACTGATCGGGTGTCCTACTCCGAGATCATGGGACTTGAGTGGTTGGGGATGGCCATGAAGGAAGTTATACGGATGTTCCCTGTGGTGCCCATTGGCAGCATGAGGATCACGGCTGCCGATGGGATGAATGTGTATGGGTATCGTGTCCCAAAAGGCACAGTGGTCTCTGTGAATGTGCATTGCTTGAACTACTCCCCTTTGCTGTGGGACGATCCGGGCACCTTCAACCCCGAGAGATGGCGCAAAATGGCACCAACTGAGCAGGCTGGGACTGAGTTCGCACCTCAACCTTCAACAAAGGGCAATCCTCGGATCTTATGGGCTTTCAGCGATGGACCCAGAAACTGCTTGGGGCAAAGGATGGCGATGATGGAGATGCACCTTGTGGTGGCAGTGCTGTTGGCACATTTTGAACTCAGGTACTGTGTGGCTGCAAGACGATGTTTAAATTTTGCCCTGCCTTGTCCAAACACAATGGCACAGGTGGAACCCCAGACGCTTCGTGCACTGCCACACACTTATCATTTCGCCACGTCCTTGGCACACATTGCAAATACTTGTTGAGTGATGTTATCTGCTCAAGTTGATGTCCTGAGTTCCCAATGCTAAGCTGCCTGTCGTCACGATCAGTCAAATTCCTCAAACCAGTGTTCTGCTCGTTGGCTGCAGGCTTGCAGAGAGGATGGGCGGATGGGAGGAGGCCTTGTCTCGCCAGTATCTCGCAGGCGTTTTGTGCATCGATGGTGGAATGTGGTTGGATTGCATTCCTCGACAGACCACCGAGAAATGAAGGGGTTGAAGATGGTAGTGCAGTTCCTGCTTTGGTTTTGGCATCACAGCTGCCAGGGCTGCACGACGTGATGCGCCCATGGTGGGTTGTGCTTGCCCCAGCTCTGATCGACTCGAAAATGAGTTACCACTAGGTACCCTCCTTTCTTATCCTCAGAAACGACGATTTGTCCCATTCTTTTTAGGACTGCAGCACAGTGGGTTGTTCTATGTAATGAAGGGGGATCCAACGGTGCCCGGTATTTGTAGTTGGGAAGATCTTTGTTCGTTCATTTTTCAATGGCCTCTTTCCATGATTGCACGGCGTTGCGCTGCGCTCAGGTGTGCTCCACAATATGACGTGTCGTGTGGCAGGTGGAGCTTCGTAGATTCACACCAGCAACCCTCAAGGTATTTCCTTACTTGCATGACCTCTGACCGAAAGGCGTCTCTTCCTGCGCCAACGATGGAACTTCCAAGTCATGTACAACGCGGCGTTTTTGGCTCGTTGAATTTACAAATCCTATACGGAGGGTGGGGGTTCAGAGTATGGAGACACTTCGGCGCTTTCATGTGCTATAGTCACCGTCATGCTTCCCTGTTCATGCGGCTTCTTTGATGCATGGGCTACTATATGTAGTCCTTTATTTAGGTGGACGCTGCTTTTGTTCTTTCTGATGCTCGGTTTCTTTTGCCATATTCAGTATATATCAGACACCAGCGGATGTGCATGGCTGGGGCGGCGTCCAATTTTTGGAGTTCCTCATTTGCACGCGGTGATGATGGATTTAACGTGCGCTTCCATTTTCAGCTCGCTTGCGGCGTGGCGGCTGTACACGCCTTGATGCCAACGAGCGGCTGTCACATCGCTCGCCAAAAGGCAAACGTCCGGAACACACAGAATGAGGCAAATGGCCGTGTGTCCCAAAACACCATTAAAAAACTGCTTTGCATGCTTGCATTCTTTCCAATATGGCGCTGTCACTGTGCGCCATGGCCATCTTGATGCACACTCATGAGTGACCGTGTCCTGTTGCTTGCGATAAGTACAGAAAATTGGATCATGCTCTGGACCATCAATTTTGGCCGTCTTCATGCCCACCCTATCTCCCACACGTCACAATTTCGTTGACCCCTTCCCGCAACTCGGGAAGTAGGTACAGCGGGATCAGTATGGGCCAGCGGCACTACTCGACGAGCGGTTGGAGCCCTTCGATCCATTTGGATGTAGCAAAGAGGCGACGCAAGAGTACATGAATATAGCCCGATGGTGTTCCTTCCTGTGAAGAGATACCACAACGCAGGGAAGCGTTGCCACCCAAACCGAAACCCATTTGTATCCCCTCGTCCACTCCTTTACTCTGAAATTCTCACGGTGAATTGTAGTTTTCCAATCAAATCACGACCTAAATTCACGGTCAGAAGCACCACTTCATCCCAATATTGATTCCCAACGAAGTTTAGGCAGATCGCACTGTGTGCTGCCCCTCAAAACATACCGTGTTTTACCTTTGAAGGTACCTTAAGGTACCCGGAGAACTATAGAATAGATTTACAAATATTCTGTATTTGGTAAAATTTTTATCAAATTCCCGGAAAGTTTCAAGCTTGGAACTTTCCAGGAGTTTTCAAGGAGTTCACGACAGCATCAAATCCTCATAGGGCTTCCTTCACCTATGGATCGGGTGTCTTGCAGACACGCAGTGGGCACTACAATTAGTTTCGCGACAACGACTCGAGTATCCCCTACGCTGTCATAATACCATGATTATCTCAGCAGTGCAGGTATGTCATTATTTCCCAGATTTTTCCCCATTCAGAAGTTTAAACCAATTTCGATGTTTCCTGGTGAGCTTTCGCGGACAAGATAGCTCCCATATGAAACTTATCACTTCTTCTCGGTTATCTTCGTATTTTCATGCAGACCTCACCAAGCGATCGTCGTTTTTGATAGACTTCACTCTATTATCTTTCAACTCATCTGTTAGGCGCCCATGGGTGCGTGAAGCTCAGGCGCTTCCCGATCGCCAAGACATGACTCACACATCCCCAACTTCCTTTTTATACTGTAAGAAAAGCGCCACAGCCATTACTATAGAAAACATAAGCAGTGTTGCCTCCAGACATGTTAGAATGCAGCCTTCTGTCAGCAGCACTCACATTTTCTATTTCTCAAAAATTCTTAAGTGCAAAATTTCCTGAAAATTTCACCAGGGTTCCGGTAGTAGTTCTGCTTCTTAACGCAGGCCGGCTCATTTGATGGAACTGCACAACCTTACCTCTGACACAAAAGTTTGATGCCCAGGATATGGAGTATGCCTACTCCATGTCCTAGGACATGGGGACCCCATATTCTGGATATCGAGTATGGGCGCCATGTCCAAGGATATGGCAAAGATACGGGCAAGGATACGGCCGCATCCCGGCGTATTGGCGGCCATATCTTAGAATATCAGCCCTTGACATACAGGATATGGGCACCATATGGGCATGTTCTGGGTATGCGCATCCAGGATATGCAGCTCTTTTGCAACGTCATACGAAGATCAGAGTGCCATACTGTTGGATGAGAAGGGGGTTGGGATTGCCAGAAAAAGAGTCAAAGTCCAAAAGAAGACAGATGTACAGAAGAGAATGCTTTCAAGTATCTGCTGACCACTTGGCACATCGCCAACTGTGCCAATGCTGAATCTGCCATCTGGGGGTGATCTCGGCAGATGGCAATCTGATGCATCTGCATTGGCATCTGATGCCAATGCAGATCTTGAATTTCGTGCATACTATGCACGAAATTCAAAAAACACTACTGAATAGCGGAAAAATATTGACTGTTCAGTGAGTGGAAGTCTGAAGAGTCGCATGCTTTATGGTCACTGGGACCCGATTTTCAGGTTTGCAAAGCAATCTGAAATAAGTGGCAAGCATACTGCCGTTGGGTCCCCAGACATTTAGACGAGTGGAGCGATCATGGGCAGCTGCGTGCATGAGCAGTATCTCTCCATGCGGACATCTATGTCAAGTCCTGACTGGTCCATGGTGTTGCAAAACTGTTGTGCATATACTTGATTTCAAGAACCCGTGACACAGCGTTTGGCTCGGGTCAGAAATGATTGTATCGTTGGAGTGAATGGCTATGGCAAGATTTGCTGCAAAGGAGAGAGAAACAGGTCATACAGAGGGCACCCCCTCCTGGGGAAGTGTATGCGAGGCTCTTTCCATACTGCAAAAAGATGACATAGAGCCTCTGATGAAAAGATGAGTGTGCTCAGAGCTTGAAGTCTGGCTTGGTTGGAATCGTCTTTTTTGTGCTTGACGGGATCCACACATCTGGGCGACAGAAACAAAAGGGGCAAGGTCATTGTACAAATGCGGCCGATCGTGAGAAGCGTTTGTCTCCCAAGTTGTTTCGTGGGGTGTGGTTGGTTCCTTCAAGGAACTACCTTGTGCGTGACAGAGCACCAGACGGTCCCAAACTGTAGTGAAACGCCTTCCCCGTCCCAGACGCCAAGTCAGCCCCCAACTGTCGATCGTGTGTCACCTATTGAGTTACTCAAGAACAAGACCAACTGCAAATGTCAACACACCAGAGAGCCTGGGAGTCAGGAAATGAACTGATAGTTGGAAGACGCCAACACACGCGGCCAATTCAAAGGCTGATGCGTAAGCGTTGTTGCCGTACTTCAGCATCAAATCGATGCTGTGGCTTCAACCAAAGTTGGGAACGTCGAGATCCGCGACGCTGAGAAGATGCTCAAAGGCCGAAATGGCACACGATGCACGCGCAAAATTGGCTGCAAGGCCATGCGCTGTGGTGACATTGTCATTGCACATAATGCGGCCCACGTGGACCCAATGGATGGGACCGGGCGGCTTCCCCAGAGGCGAGTCAGACAGCGGGCCCACGGCATCATTGTCCGCGATGTCCGCGGCGCGTGTGAATGTGACGACCACGACTGCAAAAGAAGACGATTGAGGCGGTCAGGGAGGCCCTGAAGTCGGGTCGGCGGCCAAGTAGACAAAGTGGGCAAAGCCCTTGCCCGGCCGTCGCGTTCATCGTGGCTCGCGGCGCTTGGCTGCCCGCTTCGCGGACACGTGTTCGACCAGCGACCAGGCACCACAGCGCAGTCGGCGCCATGGAGGTGTCCGCTTTCAGGCTGCTGGCCGCGGCGGCCCTGTTGCTCGCCTTTGTCGCTGGCCTTGTGAACAGATGGCGGCGGAGATCCAAGTACGACATTCACTGCGTTCCCGGCCCGCCGGTCTACCCGATCGTCGGCAACATGCCCCAGACGCTGGAGTGGGAGAAGCCGCAAATGCATCTGATGCTGCTGGAGTGGGTGAACTATTACGGGAAGGTTGTGCAGATGTGTGTGCTGTGACGTCCACCAGGATACCAACGGGAGCGACAGGCTTTTGTGCTAATCGCGCCCTCCACCCCCCCAGCATCCCCAACCCCAAACCTCGCGCAAAAGGGTGTCCCTGACGGCGTCGGTGCCCGCTTCTGGCGGAAACTTGGGCGCAACACTGAAAGACCCAAAAGCGTATTGCTCAAAGGGCCTGGGAATGTTCCACAGCGGTGCCTGGCATCTCCCCCCATGCGTCGTACTCCACAACCCGGCTGTAAGGGCCTTGTCGCGGCTGGACTCATTCCACTGAACCCTCACCGCCCATCTTCTCCGAATTCTCGCTGCTCCGTTGTGAACCCTGGACGCTGCCGACGCGCGTCGATCATGACGGTGGCCCCGGGAGCTGGAATCATGCTGAAATGACGCGCCTGCCGCCACCGCTCTTCCTCAAGACGGGTTCGATGGAATGAGCCACGGACGCCAGCCCTTATGCCCCAGCTCGCGACGGAGATTCTTGGCGAGGCCGGTTTGGGGGTGGCCGCGGTGTCAACTCGCCCAAGGGCGATATGGCGTGGGGCGTGGGGTAGGGCTAGGTCGCTGTTTGTGTCTCCACTGGGGATAGCTAGCCTGTCGCCAGGAAAAAAGCGCCAAACAGCACGTGTTCAAACGTGCACAAAAT